GTCTCCTAGTGGTTTATGGTGGGTGGGCATTTTGAAACCCTGTTATTCTCTTATGGTCAGAATCAGAGGTTTTCTCTTGTCTCCTTTAAACCTTTGGCCAAGTGATACTTCTCAGTGAGGTCTCTCATGACAACACTCTTTGAAATGGTAACTCTTCCCCACCCCCACACCAGCACGCCGTATTCCTTTTCTCTGTTTCCTTTTCCTCCATAAGAGTTAGTTATCACTTTATTACATACTATAAAATGCAATAACTTATTTCATTTATTGTCTATCTCTCCCAACCCCTTCCCCAACCACCATTACTAGAATGTATGCTCTGTGAAGATGCATAGTTTTGTCTGTTCTGTTCACTGATGTAGCCTCAGTACCTAGAATAGCACTTGGAACATAGCAGGTATTCAACAATTTGTTGAGTGAATTCGAGAAAGGCGTGAATTTTTTTCTTTTTATTGAGTTCATAATAGTTTACATCAATGTGAGGTTTCAGTTGTACATTATGTCTTGTCTATCACCACATAAGTACTCCACTTCACCCCCTCTGCCCACCCCACCCTCCTTCCCCTGGTAACCACTGAACTGTTTTCTTTGTCTGTGTGTTTGTTTATATTTCACATATGAGTGAAATCATCTGGTGCTTGTCTTTCTCAGTCTGGCTTATTTTGCTTACCATAATACCCTCCAGGTCCATCCATGTTATTATTGCAAGTGGGATGAATTTGTCTTTTTTATGGTATGGCTGAGTAGTGTTCCATTGTATATATAAACCACATCTTCTTTATCCAATCATCAGTTGATGGGCACTTGGATTGTTTCCATGTCTCAGCTATTGTGAATAGTTCTGTAATGAACATAGGGGTGCATATGTTACTTTCGATTGTTGATTTCAAATTGTTTGGATAGATAGCCAGTAGTGGGATAGCTGGGTTGTATGGTAGTTCTATTTTCAGATCTTTAAGGAATCTCCATACTGGCTGCACCAGTTTGCATTCCCACCAGCAGTGTATGAGGGTTCCCTTTTCTCCACACCCTCTCCAACATTTGTTGATTTTAGTCTTAGTGATTGTAGACATTTTAACAGGCATAAGGTGGTATCTTAGTGTAGTTTTGATTTGCATTTCCTTGATGATTAGTGATGTTGAACATCTTTTCATGTGTTTATTGGCCATGTGTATATCTTCTTTGGAGAAATGTCTGTTCATATCCTCTGCCCATTTTTTGATTGGGCTGTTTGTTTTTTTATTGTTCAGTTGTGTGTTCCTTATATATTATGGAGATTAACCCCTTGTCAGATACATCATTTGCAAATATTTTCTCGCAATTGGTGGGTTGTCTCTTTGTTTTGATCCTAGTTTCTTTTGCCTTGCAGAAGCTCTTTAGTCTGATGATCTCCGACTTGCTTATTTTTTCTTTTGTTTCCCTTGTCTGAGAAGATATGGTATTCAAAAATATCCTTTTTAGTTTGATGTCAAAGAGAGTACTACCAATATTATCTTCCAGGAGTTTTATAGATTCAGGACTTTTCTTCAAGTCTTTGATCCATTTTGAGTTTATTTTTGTGTAGGCCATGAGATAATGGTTTACCTTTATTCTTTTTCATGTGGCTGTCCAGTTTTCCCAACACCATTTATTGAAGAGACTATCTTTTCTCCATTGTATATTCTTGGCACTTTTGTCAAAGATTAGCTGTGCGTAGATGTGCAGTTTTATGTCTGGGCTTTCAGTTCTGTTCCATTGATCTGTGTCTCTGTTTTGGTACCAGTACCATGCCATTTTGATCTCTATGGCTTTGTAGTATATTTTGAAGTCAAGGATTGTGATACCTCCAGCTTTGTTCTTTTTTCTCAGGATTGCCTTAGCAATTTGGGGTCTTTGGTTGCCCCATATGAATTTTAGGATTTTTTGCTCTATTTCTATGAAGAATGTCATTGGGATTCTGATTGGGATTGCACTGAATCCGGAGATTGCTTTGGGTAGTATAGACATTTTAACTATGTTTATTCTTCCAATCCATGTGCATGGAATCTCTTTCCATCTCTTTATGTCATTATCAATTTCTTTCAGTAACATCTTATAGTTTTCATTGTATAAGTCCTTCACCTCCTTGGTTAAATTTATTCCTAGGTACTTAATTCTTTTTGTTATGATTGCAGATGGAATTGTATTCTTGAGTTCTCTTTCTGTAAGTTCATTATTGGAGTATAAAAAGCAACTGATTTTTTGTAAGTTGATTTTGTACTCTGCAACTTTACTGTAGTTGTTAATTATTTCTATTAGTTTTCCAGTAGATTCTTTGGGGTTTTCTATATATAAGATCATGTCATCTGCAAACAGCAAGAGTTTCACTTCTTCACTCCCTATTTGGATTCCATTTATTCCTTTCTCTTGACTAATTGCTCCAGCCAAAACCTCCAGTACTATGTTGAATAAGAGTAGTGATAATGGGCATCCTTGTCTTGTTCATCTTCTCAGGGGGATGGCGTTCAGTTTTTGTCCATTGAGTATGATGTTGGTTCTGGGTAAAGGCATGAATTTTTATGCTTGCCCTTAGAGGACCTGCATCAAAATATTTGATAAAGAAACTATAAGAAATACAAAAGAGGTATACAATACAATTGCTGTGTTTAGGAAATTTCAGGTAAGAAATCAACAGATTCATTTCTGTTAAACCAAGGTCCTCATGGCAAAGTCTAATTGAGTGCTGCGATGTGTAGTGCAGGTGATACTCATTGAGGAGGTCTCCATGGAGAATGGGACAGACGGAGGAGGTGAGATGGGCCAGGTCTTGCAAGAACAATGAGGTTTTGTTAGGTATGGAGGGATCAGGAAGAGCATTCTGAAAAGGCTTATCTTTCTTTACATCCCCTAAACACATCCACTTCCATGATCCTTATGCTGATGACAAACTTAGAGGTTACTTTCTTTTAGTCAGAGGATGGGGAGAAGCAGAAGGACTGGTGACGGACACAATGAAGGAACAGTAAAGTTAGGAGAACAAGAATAAGGTCTCAGGGGATCTATACTAGTGCCCTGTTGCTGCTGTAACAAATGACCACAAACAGTGGCTTAAGACAACACAAACTTATTCTCCTAGAGTTCTGGAGGTCAGAAGTCTGAATAGGTATTATGCGGCAAAATCAAGGTGTTTGCAGGGCTGTGTCCCTTCTGGAGGCAGTAGGGGGAATTCATTTCTTTGCCTTTTCCAGCTTCTAGAAGCTTCTCACCTTCTTCGGTGCCTGACCCCCAGCCAGCAATCGCATCACTGCAACCTCTGCTTCCATCATGGGATTTCTTTCTCTGACTCTCCTGCCATCCATTTCCTTATATAGACCCTCATGATTACCTTGGCTCCACCTGAATAACCTGGACTATCTCCTCATTTTAAAACCCTTAATTTAATCAGTCCTATAAAGTGCCTCTTGCCATGAAAGGGAACACATTCACAGGCTATGCAGATTAGGTGAACTTTTTTGGGGGGGCGTTATCCTGCTTACCACAAGCTGACAACGTAGATTTAAAAGATGAAATGTCAATGTGGGGGGACACATAGGAGAGAAGGACAACACACATCACTAAGAAAGAGTGAGTCCAAGAATATAATAATTTAAAGACAAATATAAATGGTATTTAAATTACTTGTCACTCATCATCTATGTCTGTGGCTTCCTCAGCTGGTACGGGTCATTAGGAGCTGATGCTCACTGTTTATGACAATAATAAAGCTGCCATTTATATGGATTTATAATCTCATTCGGCTGAGATTTAAACCCAGGGTCTACCACTCTCCAATCTCAGATACTTACCACCAACTTCCACGGCTTCCTATGAGGAAAACTAGTCCATATTCTGATAACTCTGAATTGCTCAGAATCACGGAACACCATTAAGCATCTGAAATAATCTGGTGCCAAAGCAGCAACATTTCTGCAGAAGTCAATATATCTTAGGAGACTTTTATTAAAAGCAGAAGGGCCCTTTTAATTGGCTTATGCAATCAAAGCATGCAATGAATTTAAGGAAAACTTCAGAGCATATGGCATTCCAATGTCTCCAAAGTGTAGTTTGATGGGACCGGCAGCGAACATGAGGAGGAGGTATGATTTTTGAAAAGCTGTTGGAGTATTGTGTTGCAAATAAAATCTAAGAAGGCATTTTGCAATTCACTTTTCTGTTTCTATTTTTTTCCCGTGTTTTATTGCTGCCTTTCATTCCCAAACACTATAAATGTTCCTTGCCAGCTTTACATTCCAAATTCTAACTCCATGTGTTCTCTCCAAGAATCTGACACTTACTTCTCCTGGTGTACTGGAAAGAAGGAATGTCACAGTTTAGCTAAGTAAGGAGGGGAGGGTGGCCGGTGCCTGTGGGAATGTGTCAAGAACTCTCATTTTTATCCATCATTTCAGCCCCAAAAGGCAGCATTTGGATTAAAAGGCCTCCAAATTCTTCCAGTCCTATGAGTCTATGACCCTACAGGGATGCGGTTTGACTCTGGTTTGGACCCATCAAATTCCATACGCGTCCAAGTTCAACTGTTTGTTAAGACATGCCGCTCCTGGCAGTGATGCAGTCTGAAAGGGGAGCAGTGTTTTTCAGGGCTTTTGTGCTGTTACTGTTTGTATTTACAGCTTGCTGATCACCAAACAAAGATGACTGAAGTCTCAGAGCTGTGATCACAGACCGAGGTCAGGAAGCCCTGATTCTGCCCAGGCGCGCTGGGATGACAGGAGGCAGACAGGGAGTCCTCGCAGAGCACAGCCCCAGACACCTGCAGTCACAGTGACGCCCTCAGCTCGGAGCTATTGAGCCCTTGCTTTCCAAAGTGAGGTCCGAGGACCAGCATTGAAGGCATCACCAGTGAGTTCGTTGGACATAGACTCAGACCCGCAGGATGAGCGTCTGAGCGTTAAGATTTCCAGATGACTTGTGTGCACATAAAAGTTTGAGAAATCTTGAGTTAAGTGTGGCTGACCACCCCTACCTTGCCCCTAAGGGTGGCAATGGCAGGCCCTGAATTGGCTGAGTGTCTGCTGTCCCACTGCAGGAGGGGACACGGAGCCTCGGCTACTCCTCGCCCCAAAGAGCGGCGGAGGGACGGATGCGAGGCGTTGCGACGCTGCCGCAGCCCCGCTCCTCCCCGGCCAGCTCTTCCCTGGGAGATTCCGCGTCCCCCTCCCCCCTCCCGGCCCTTACACCCCCGCCACCAGCCGTCCCCAATGAGCGGCGACGGCGGGAGTAAAGCCCGCCCCGGGCGCCCCCTGCGCCCCGCCTGCGGTTCCCTCGGGCGAGGGCGGCTCCAGCCCGGAGGCGCCGGTACCCAGGGCGGGCTCTCCCGCGCCTTGTCCCCTCTTGTCCCCTCCACAGGCATGGGGCGCCAGGCGCTCCTTCTGCTCCTGCTGCGGGTGCTGGCCGCGCTGGGCGGCCTGGGGGGCTCCGAAATGGGTGAGTAGGGCGCCCTGGAGAGGGGCTGCACTCCACGCTGCGGGGACCAGGGGTGGCTGGCTGCCGGGGCGCAGCAGGGCGGGGGAGGCACAGGGGAGCTTGGGGCACCCGTGCTGGGCGGGCGCGGCGTCTCCCCAGTCTCCGCATTCTGCAGGACCTTTTATCTAGGAGGGCGAACCTGGGCCTCCCCGAGAGGCGGCCGGGTGAGTGGCGTGACCCTCCTGCTTCTCGGCCCTTTGGCCTGGGTTGGTGGCAGGGTAGTGGGCTCAGGGGACGAATTCGGTGTCTTTTCCTCTCCTGTTCTCAAGCAGGTGGGAAAGGGAGCTCTCGCCACACCTGAGTGCGGGGTGCACCCTCCCTTCCAGGTTCTTCCTTCCTCCAACGTCGAGGGGAGGCCGAGTGGGATGCACTTTCTAGCCCTGGTCTCAAAGAGGCCCGTCGCCCAGGTCTACCAGGCAGCAAATTTAGCTTCTTGGAACCCGGTCCCTCGGGAAGACGGACCTCACTCCAGAAACGGATCTGGGGAAGTGGCGTGGGCCTGAGGTGCCGTTAGGAAGCAACTTCCGGGGGCACTTGTTGATAGCACTCAGGTTTAGGCAGACCCCAAGGCAGAGGAGAGGTGAGTCGGGGTCCCAGGGTAACCGAGACACCCACAGTTCCCAAACGGGCCTGGCTGGTGAGGTAGCCAGGTGTAGTAGGTGCCCAGAGTGTGTCCAACGGCCTGGCCTGCGGGCTTGTGGATCTGTCCTGCAGGTGCTCTGATTGCCCCTCACAGAAGGAAGGCAGGTTTTAAATCATTTTAACTTATGCAGACTCTCTTGGTCAAGGTACAGTTAACTAGTTTGGGGGAGGTGCCACTTAACAACTGGGTTGTTTATCTTCCAGGAAGGATTCTAACCCTCAGATTTTTGCCTAACCTGGTGGAGCATCTCTTGTAACAGGAAGTCCTTGTCCTGTGTGGTCTGTTTGCACCACTCCTGAAACAAGACTTAAAGTTACTTGTGTTTTTTACTGAGCAGTGATTTCCAATGCCTTCTGGTATGAAGACATCTTTATGAGGTCTGTTTTAGAGCAGCACATGATCACTGTACTTTGTCTATTGATAAGCTATGAGAAAGCTACCATAGATTTAATATGCAAATAAATACATTCATAAACAAATTTCTTATTATTCACAGTGAGCATCTACCTAAATTTGAACAGTAATGTTTGAGACCCATCTGCAGGTGACATGTAGAATCTGTACGCACATTGCTCTCCAGACTGAGACTCAGCAGGGCCAAATGTCGTTCAAAGTGTGACTCACCCCGCAGTGTGAGTCTTTGAGGGCTGATTGCAACCCTAATTGGGATCCTTCTGGAAGGATCTGCTGGAAGAAGGAGCAAAAGAGTTAATGCTTTGTGAGCATTTGTGTGGTGGGCGCTGTGCCAAGTGGCTTTGTGCTCATTTAATCCTTGAATCTTCTTCTTGGGATCACTTATTTACTAGCCTCATTTTATAGACGAGAAAACTGAGGTCAGAGAGAGGAAGTAACTCTCCCAAGGTTGTTGTTGGTAAGTGTTCTAACCCAAACTCCAGGCTGGATAGCCTGACGACTGAGCCTGCGCTGCCATCTTAGTGGTTGCTGACATCACCTCCTCTTGATTTCATGGTTTTGGTCAAGTCAAGAGAGATTGCCTGGATGGATGTGAGGAGATGACAAAGTTGTTAGCTATCCATTAATAAACAATACTTCCTGAGTATTTTATTAGAAATGCTTTTCATAAGCCAGGCTTTAAAATCAAACATTGAGTGGTAAAAGCACTGTCTTAGAGGGATACAAGACAAGGTATGATCCCTTACCGAAGAAGGTGAGTCTACGCAATGGCCTTCCATGGTCAACTTTCATGACATAGCTTTGCATACCACTTTCCATTCCATACGCACAAATTGTCCCTGGGAGTAGAACTTGCTGGTCTTCACTATATCTTGCAGAGACTTCTACCAGTACAGGCCATGTGGTTTATGTTTTCTAGGAACCAAGGATTGGCTTCTTCGCTTTGAAAGTTAGGACAATATGGTAAATTAAGTACAATCAGGCCTTCTTGATGCTTCCCTCTGGGGACCACATTCCATAACAGGCTTATTTTTGACCATGAATCATTCAAGGTTGACAAACACAAGTTCATGACTTGAATAAAATTGATAGTAAAAATCAATCTCATGTAAATAACCGAAAACTTACAAATATTTGTAACCAGGCTATTAGAGGCATTCTTAGAAAGATGGTAGGTAGGACCGAAAATCCTCCTCTCATTTTAAGATGTGTCTACACATGCCTAAAAGTGGAGTCAAGTACTTTGAACCTAGACCTCTAAACTTGCAACTCTTCATGCTCTGAGTCTTTAAGACCAGACCAGAGCTGGAGGAAGCCAATCTACCCCATTCTGGTAGGAAAACAGGGAGGCCAATGACAGTACTCCAGCAACAGCTCCACGACACCAGAAAAAATGGTTCCCAAGGATTGTCACTGGCGAATTTGTGTGGGTTTGTAGGGTATGGAATCCCCCTAGTGTTCTCCTGGACATTAGTTGAAAGAAGGTCTTTCAAAATGACGTTTGACTACAGCTTATCGTGAAAAGGTGCTCTCTTGTACCCAAAGGAGCCAGGAGCTCTCACGGCTTTGCTTCTTGGCCCTCCAAAGCAGATGAAGTCAAGTGTAACCTGACGAGGCAAGCTGCGTGTGGTGGAAGCTGCATTCCTGTGGCCTGGCTCTGCAATGGAGAGCAGGAGTGCCCAGATGGGACCGATGAGCAGTGTGGTAAGCTCTTGTCACCACTGTGCCAGGTACTCATCCACAGCTGGCCCTTGTGGCTCTGTGCTTGGTTGACAGCATCAGTTTGCATGGTCTGTACCCTCTTCAGGGGTATTCAGAAATATTGGTTGTTCTGGCTTGTTGCAGGCTTCCACTGAGTAAGGCCAGGGATGTTTCTTTAAGCGTTGGTACCACTATTGTCAAAACAAATGTAGCGGGCTGGCTGGGATGGAAAATCCAGCCCAAGTCTGGCTCCTCACCTTAAATTCAGGCTTAGCCATCTGTGGCAGGTAGTCAAACTGGAATAATACAGAGATCCCTTTATAGGAAACCCTTGCCAACTCCAACACACACAATTACTTTTATATACGATAAACTAGTTCAACTTTTATATGCTTCAAGATTTTTGTATGACTGAAAAATCACCTTGTAAATTGAGTACAAAGAAAACTACAAAACCAATAGAAGCCAAGTTAGCCATTCTAAATGACTTGCTAAAATGAAACTCAAATACTGGGGCCAGCCCGGTGGCGCAGCAGTTAAGTTCGCACGTTCCGCTTTGGTGGCCTGGGGTTTGCCGGTTCGGATCCTGGGTGTGAACCTATGCACCGCTTAGCAAGCCATGCTGTGGCAGGCATCCCATATATAAAGAGAAGGAAGATGGGCATGGATGTTAGCTCAGGGCCAATCTTCCTCGGCAAGAAGAGGAGGATTGGTGTCAGATGTTAGCTTAGGTCCAATATTCCTAAAAACATATAAAAATAAAACTCAAATACCTCTGTGCTAGGAGTGCTCAGAGCCCCAGAATGGACGCCTGAGCACCGGTATATGAGGAGCCGTCTTAACAGATACCTCACGTCGTAGTGTAGCGCATATGAAAGGGGGAAATCCCTCATTAAAGGAGGGAACCCCACCCCCACCCCCAAAGAGTTTGGCGAGGGCTATGTTCCTTCTCTCTACGTGCACGTTCCTGGGATGGTCACCTACTGTAACTCATTTAACATGAAACCTTTGATATTAAAACGTGTAACATTGCAGGTGGAATAAAATTTCATACTTGCAGAAATGCCCTGTATTCTGACCTCCATACACTTCAGCCCAGCCCCTCAAGTTTGCTTGCTTCTGCCATAGGTATACATAGGTGGAAATAATTGGAGGTCTCATTAAACCCCAAACCAGCAGTTCCCAGGTTGTTCTAGATCTTCATGCAGCCGCAAACGCCGATGGAGTTCAAAGAAGTGAACCAACGACACTAGAGTGTCCAATGCAGGGGCCACTAGCCACTTGTGGGGATTTAAATTTATTTAAATACATTAAATAAAAGTAGAAATTCAGTTCTGTCGTACTAGCCTCATTTCAAGGGTTCAGTAGCCACAGAGGACTAGTGGCTGCCATTTTGGACCACACAGATATAAAAAGCTTCCATTGTCACAAAGTTTTATTGGACAGCGATGTTCTAGAAGAACGATGGGGAGGATAAGCTTCATTGATCTGCTAGGTCATTGTCCCTTGGTCAGGTAGGGGTACTATGTGATGTCAGGGGTGACATGAAAACGACAGTCAAGTTTAGGGTTGACTCCACTAGCAAATTGGGAATTATTCTTTGGCTAATGAAAATACTTAATATGAAATCCAGATTTACAAGCTGCTAGTGTCCTGACATCTCTTCCTTTCTGCCTCTTCTCGAACACTGCCGCTGGCCCCAAGAGGAAATATGTCACGGACATCCACAGGCCTGGCAGTGTGATGACGGGAAATGCATTTCTGTTAGCTGGCTTTGTGATGGTGTTGGTGACTGCTTAGATGGCTCCGATGAGGTTGACTGTGGTATGTGTAACTTATTCTTATCTTTAGTCGTGTTCTGTTTCTTAGTAACATTGATTAACGTCAACCATATTAGGTAACCAAGTCACTCAATAGCCTATGCCATACGTGCTAAACCCAGATGTTAAATTGTCTGTGGCTTTACAGGTGACTTTTTTTACCCGCTTCTCCATTTTTCAAAGTTATATAAAGTAGATTATCAGCTTTATTGACTTTTTTTAAACTTCTTTAGGGTGAAACTTCAGTATACAAAGTTGTAGCCACTTCTCCAATGGCTACCATCTCTTTCAGTTCTTGGTTTTCCATAGGCTAAATCCATGAGCAAACTATAAGTCCTATAAAAAGTTCATAATATAGCAGTCTGTCTCACTGAGCCAACTCCTTCTTTTTAGAGAGATTGACAGGGTGTCCAGACCAAAAAATCCAATGTCCAGGAAATTCTCAGTGTCGTGATGCCTGGGAACTCTGTGATGTCCATAAGGACTGTGAGGATGGGTTTGACAAAGCGCGCTGCCCTCGGAACCATTGCCTGGCTGGCCAGTGGCAGTGCAAGAACAAGGTGTGTGTCATGGATAGCTGGAAGTGTGATGGCATCGACAACTGTGGGGACTCCTCAGATGAGGAAGTCTGTGGTGAGTCTCCCCTGATGCCCGACTTTTGTTTAAAGGGAAGTTTGTACTATATGGGCTGCTTTCTGCAAGTTGCATTTTAATGCCTATGACTGAGACTGCCATCCTATATCTAAAACAGCATCTTTCCTAGCAGTGGCCAAGAGTTAGTTATCCATGGAAACATGGGGCAGTCTTAAATAGTAACTCTGCAGTGGGCACTGTAAGCATTGCCTGGAATGCTTCCACTATTCAGTTATGGCCAACGCACAGAACACCTGAGCGTCAGCATCTTAATGAGGCCTCCTAACAGATGCCTCACCTCCTTGTGTAGTGCATACAGAAGGGGAAGATTCCTCCTGAAAGGAGGAGAACCCCAAAAGAACTTGGTGAGAACCGCATTTCTTTGGCCCATATACACAATGCAGTGGAGCCTCCAACTTCTTGGTCAAGCACAATCCCATTCAATCTTTCTTTTCTATAGTTAAATCTGCAATGTTGAATATATTCAAATTCTAACATTTTTCTAATAAAGTATAAGATGGTTTCTTGGGAGACTACTTCTTTTAGGGCTAGTGTTGACTAACTGTAACGCCATATCAATTAGAAATATTAATACTAGTTCACTTAAATTTTAATACTATTTCAATTCAGTGCCCAGAGGTCTTAACGTCTTTGTTATCAAGTCTTATGTCCTAATTCCCTGAAACTCTACTTAAAAAGATAAAACTTTCTTTCCTACCTAGACTTGCCTTGGGTTATAGAAATATTGCCGCCTTGCTCACTGTAAGACTGGTCTATTTCTACCCCCCACCATAAGTATTAGTGAAAAAGAGTCCTAACTTCCTACGCAGCTTCCTGTCCAGAAGGCATGGTTAGATGTGATGAAGGCAAATGCATCCTAGAATCCCTGATGTGTGATGGGGAAGCAGACTGCATGGATGGTACTGATGAACCCACTACATGTGGTAAGAATCCAGCTACTGGGCTTAACATACGAGTTGGGAGAATAAGATAAGTAACTCAATGCCTTGGTTATCATGGGGGTCTGCTCTCTGAGAGAATGCTTGGACCCAAACTCCTACATAAGCAGTTATCCTTCAGTGATGGATCCCTCACACTTTACAAGTTCCAGCCCTTGGCGTTAGTCTCCTGAGTGTGAGCAAATGTTACCTGAGCTGTAAAACTTAGAGAGTTATTATCCCTGAAGCTTCAGGGAAATAGATTAAACACCTCAAACTATATAGTGCTCCTAAAATTCTGGAATAAAGAATACAAACTCTGCCACTGAGAAGCACATCATTTCTTGAAGACAAAATAGTGAATTCTTTAAGGATTTAACAGAGAAAGGACTGAGGAAGATAATTTCCTAGTGCGGAGGGAGGTGGGGGTGGTGGGCACTGAGCAAGCAGCTCTGGCTTTTAAACCCTTGTGTTTCTGGCTTAAACCATAAGTAGGGGTAGAAGGAGAGCGAGCATCTGTCCCCAGGTCATTTTGTTGTCTTATTTTCCCCCCAAAATCTGGTCTTAGACATGGATGATGAAACCTCTTTAGTACTGTTAAAGGCTTTGAAAGAAGGTTTTTACTAAAGGAACACATAAGAGATTCTAAGAACCTAAACAATGGGACAAAGTACAGCTTTCTGGTCCTGTATAGAGAATTTATTGGGATTAGAAAATTATTACATCACTTCCTGACATAAAGGTCCCAGCCACCCATAAATTCTCTAGAGAAAATAGAGAAGAGGGTGCTGGCCTCTCCCCCCGTGAACAATATACTAGCACTTGGGATTGTCTAGACTGTGGGCCTGCAAAGAAATGCCTTTCCCCTGCTCCATGACTCCTGGCTTTCCCTCTTCCCTAGTCCTCCCTTGAAACCTCCACCTTCCTAGGTAAGAGTTCTGGGTTAAAGGTTATTCTTAACCAGTCATCTATTCCTCATAGAAGTGTAGAGGCTTGTGTCACAACATGGTTTGTAAAACGTTTGATCTTTACTGCGTTCAAGGGTGCTGACCATTGTCTTGTCTCTACCAGGTAAAAACTGCTCTCTGGCCAACGGGGGCTGTGAGGGGCAGTGCAGTGACACACAGTGGGGTGTCCAGTGTTCATGTGGAACTGGATGGCAGTTACAGCTGGACGGTCAGAGCTGTGGAGGTCAGAATTCATTTGGTTCATCTTTTTTTTTTTTTTTTAAGGTTGGCACCTGAGCTAACAACTGTTGCCATTCTCCTTTTTTTTCCTGCTTTTTTCTCTTTTCTTTTCTTCTGCTTTTTTCTACCCCAGTACATAGTTGTGTATTTTTAGTTGTGGGTCCTACTAGTTGTGGCATGTGGGATGACACCTCAGCATGGCCTGATGAGCAGTGCCATGTCCGCACCCAAGATCCAAACAGGCGAAACCCTGGGCCACTGAAGCTGAGCGTGTGAACTTAACCACTTGGCCACAGAGCCAGCCCTTGGCTCATCTTTTAAAAAAAGTTTTTATTGAGGTCAGCCCAGTGGTGTAGTGGTTAAGTTCATGCACTCTGTTTCGGTGGCCTGGGGTTCGCTGGTTCGGATCCTGGGCACAGATCTACACACTGCTCATCAAGCCAAGCTGTGGAGGCATCCTACATACAAAACAGAGGAAGACTGGCACAGATGTTAGCTCGGGGCTAAATCCTCCTCACCAAAAAAAAAAAAGGTTTTTATTATAGTGAAATATACATAACATAAAATTTACCGTTTTAATCATTTATTTGATCATGCCATCAGTTCAGTGACATCAACTACATTCACAGAGTTGTGCAACCATCGCCATTATCTGTTTCCAGAAATTTTGCATCATCCCAACAGAAACTCTGTACCCACTAAGCAATAATGCCCCAGACCCCCTCTTCCCCATCCCCTGGTAACTTCTGTTGACTTTCTCTCTCTATGAATTTACCTATTCTAGTACCACATGTAAGTGGAATCATAAAGTATTTGTGCTTTTGTTTCTGGCTTATTTCACTTAGTCTGTCTTTAAGCCTCATCCATATTGTAGGATGTATCAGAATTTCCTTTCTTTTAAGACCAAATAATATTCCATTTAATATATATACCACATTTTATCCATTCATCTGTTGATGGTCATTTGGGTTGTTTCCACCTTTTGGCTACTGTGGATAATGTTGCTATTGTTGGGGAAGTGGGAGAATTCCGCCTCCCCCCCTTCACTTTCCCTTAAGGTTCTTATGGCTGGTCAAATAATTAAAACGGCAGGTTAGCGGGAAAAAAATCAAACAAAGTTTAATAACGGGTATACATGGGAGAAACTCAGGAAAAACTGAGTAACTCAGCCGTCTGGCCAAGGCTGCCTGTTTAAATATCTTCAGCTCCAGACAAGGAGGATGTTGGGGGTAGTGATTTGGGATTTCAGAGGGGAAGAAGACAATTTACATGGAGACGGAAATGCAAATGTTTGTTAAACAGGTTTTGCTGGGCCAAAAAATGGGTTTGTTGGTGTCTTTCTATCACACTTATTTCGTATTACACTATAGCTGTCATATGGTATGAGCACCTTCTTGGAACAGGCCTTCTATGTTAAATTCAGTTAGGCAGTTTTAGTGGGGAAAGCTCGAACGTTCTTCCTGAGTCTTCTGAGCTTTTATTGTCCTCATCTCGAAATAACACACACACGAGAGTGGCGCATCTTGGGGTGGCCTGCCCTGAACCCCATCACTATTAACGTTGGTGAACAAGTATATGTTTGAGTCCCTTTTTTCAGTTCTCTTGGGTGTTCATTAGAAGTGGAACTGCTGGATCATGTGGTAAATTATATGTTTAACTTTTTGAAGAACCATCGAATTGTTTTCCACAGCCGCTGTATCATTTGACATTCCCACCAGCAGTGCGCAAGGAATCCAATTTCTCCACATCCTTGTCCATGCATGTTATCCTCCTCTTTTGTGGGAATTGCAGGTCAACTGTTGACTAATGAGAAAATGTTAAATTTAGCATCTTTCTCTTATGGAGTTGATGGGTTTCTGTCAGGGAATGAGTACAGCTATCACTTCACAGTGTGGGTGACAGGACAGATTCTGAAGTCAGACCTATTGTGTGTTTATCCTTGCTTGTTCCTGCTAGCTGACCTTCTCTGAGTCAATCCTTCAAGGCTCACTTCTCCCCTTTGTAAAATGGGATTATGACACCAGAATGGCTAAAATAAATTTCATGTATCTTCATTATTTAGTAACAATCTGAACAGGTTATGGCTGTTAATTTGTAGCACTTGTCCATAAAAATATGGGACTGTATTTTAGGTTAAAATGTGATTAGGAGGGTAAAAGACTTATTGTCTTGACACTTTGGCCTAAGGGTGGATCAGTGCTGCACCCTGAGCCTGGTCAGTGACCCCTATCCTATAGTTTCCTCCCTCTCCGTGGGTTCTGCCTGCAGTCCTACCTGCTTAGGTGGGAAAGGTTCAAGAGGAAAGGCCCTGGCTATTAGATAGCATCAGAGTTACCTTTACCAATGACTTTTATATTAAGAATTCATCAATAATTGTAATGACTTCCTCATTGGAAGTCTGGTCATGACCTTGGAGGGGGTCTGGGTCTTGTACACGTGCCCGGGCTTCGGCAGCAGCCTGTTGAAGTAATGGCCCATTGTAGGCCTTGATGGGCCGCTCAGCTTGACTTGTAGCCATGTATTGATTATTCTTCCCCTGGGCTTTGAAGGCGTTATACTACTTTAGGACTCCGTGGTTTTGGAGGAATAATATTTTCCTGGCATCGTTGACTATAAGGAACCACATTCCTTCCTGCTAAAAAAAAAAAAAAACCAACTCTCCCAGTTCTATGACTCATACCGTACAGGGTCCCTGCCATCCAGCTTTAAGTACTAAGAGAGGATAGTACCTTATCTAAACTCTGCCTGTTATACCTGTGAGGCTTAAGCCTTTTCCATCAGCTGGGTGAGATGTCACATGGCACAGTAGGGAACTCTAGGCCCTAACATTTGTCATTCTGAAGTAGGCTCTGGCTGGCTTGACAAGTGACACGTCCCCAAGAACGTTGCTAGGTAACATAGATTAGTATTCTGTACCAGCCAGACATCTAGGGTCCCTCTATGGACGTTTCTGCTGAATTATCTTCATGTGCGTGGGAATTGTAGGGAGGCAGGGGTGTCGATTGCAGCACCTGCACCCTGACTTCCACATAATACACGTCCAGTGAGCATCTGAAAAGTGGCCCCAAAGAACAAAAATACTCAAGAGATTGCCCTAACTTTTCGCTCTCTGTCTTCAGATGTGGATGAGTGCTCTACGGCCTACAGTCCTTGTGGCCAGCTGTGTCATAATACACCAGGCTCTTACTCCTGTGAGTGTACTCAAGGTCACCAGCTCTACAATGGCACCGACTGTCGAGTTACAGGTGGGTTTCAGTGCCTGAAGCAAAGCCTACCTCCTGCTCTATTCTCAGCAGTAATTATAGAGAAAAGTGATATAGATGATTCATTTGAAGTTCTAGTATCAGAGATGACTTTGTTCTTTCCATAAAGAAGGTGCTGTTAATAACATTCCGTGGTCTATTTGAATGTCAGTTGCTATTAAGTGTCTTTAAAATGACTTAGGGGCTGGCCCCATGGCTGGATGGTTAAGTTCGCATGTTCCACTTCGACATCCTGGGGTTTCATCAGTTTGAATCCCGGGCGTGGACCCAGCACTGCTCATGGAGCCATGCTGAGGTGGCGTCCCACACAGCAGAACTAGAAGGACCTACTACTGGAATATACAACTATGTACTGGGGGGCTTTGGGGAGAAGAAGAAGAAGAAAGAGGAGGAGGGGGGGAGAGGGAGGGGGAAGAGGAGGAGGAGAAACGATTGACAACAGTTGTTAGCTTAGGGCCAATCTTAAAAAAAAAAAGACTTAGTTATTCCATAGGCTACACAACTAGGTACTCCAGAGACCCAACTGATGCCTCAGTGTGGCCTGCGCTTTTACTGCTGGAACATTTAAATATATTTGGCTACTACGTTCAAGGCATGGAGAGGATTTCTGTCTAGGTGGGGAGAAGTGCTGAATCTGAAGTCAAATAAGGCAGTAAGGTTCCAAAGATTACTTTTAATGTGCTGGAGTTCAGAGGAGGAAGAGACGCTCGAGGCGGTCAGCTAGATCTCCTCTGGATACACCTGCGTCTGGACTTCAGAAATAAGTGAATTTGGGCATGGGAGATAGGACAACGTATTTAAAAAGAATGATGTGGAAGAAAGTTTCAAAGTAATGTGTCACTGCTTCTACTTCTATTACAGGTGATGCTGTTAAAATTCTTATCGCAACAGACCAAGAGCTTGGTGTCCTGAATCGAAGAACAGGCAGTTATGAGACTCTGATACCTATAAAATCAAGGCCAACTTCTGTTGCATATGATCTTGAGAGAAACATGTACTTCTGGGTGGATGAAGTCTTAAATGTTTTTGTCCTTGGGAAGCCAAACTCTGTTTCCCTCTATCCAGGTATGTTTCTTGAGGTTAAGAGCCCTAGTTTCTTAAAGCTGCTTAAACATAATGTAAGAAGCACATGTTTCATCCAGACGCCTTCCTCTGTGACTTACTTGTCATGAATCGTGAGAGTAAATAAAATCCCGATTGAGATTAAGACTATGTAGTTTGGCCTTACAGGAGCTTGATAGAGCATAACCTGAGAATTAAATCACTATTGAGCAGTATAGAAGGTTTGGGACATGGGCTCAGGCCAAGGTTAGTCTCAGCCCCATCACTAGGTATCGGACCTTGGGCAAGATGTTAACTCCTTTGAATTTCCCTCTCTAAGATGAGGGTAATAGCCCTTGTCTCTTTGGGCAAGTGTGAGGATTCAACTGACAGTGCCTGTGAGGAAGTGCTTAGCATAGTCCTGGGCACAAAGAAATCCTCTGGTAGCAGTTAAGAGGGACTGTTCATGGGGCCGGCCTGGTGGTGTCGCGGTTAAGTTCGCACGTTCCGCTTCTTGGCGGCCCGGGGTTTGCCAGTTCGGATCCCAGGTGCGGACATGGCACTGCTTGGCACGCTGTGGTAGGCGTCCCACATATAAAGTAGAGGAAGATAGCCACGATGTTAGCTCAGGGCCAGGCTTCCTCAGTAAAAAACAGGAGGACTGGCAGTAGTTAGCTCAGGGCTAATCTTCCTAAAAAAAAAAAAAAAAATGAGGGCGAGTTCATAACAATTCGCCTGAGACTTCTGTAATAAATATTGCCCCAAGTGAGGTCACATTCTCTTGGATTCCTTGGTTAGCTTCTGCTAAGGTCTTTGTTTTTCCTTACCGCCCACTCTATCCTGAAAACACCTTAACACAACTCTGGCCCCCACTAGCTGTGCTCTGTTTGCCTCATTGTATTGCTTGAAATCAGAACATGTAGAAAAGTTTTGTGCGAGTCTCTTTTCTCAAGGTAAGACAGGTGTAGAAGAATACAGGAACGTAACACTCTCTCCTGTATCTCCAGAACTTAAAACAGTGAACAGCATCTCTTTGGACTGGGTCACGGGGCAGTTGTATTGGGCTAGCAGCCTCACAAGAGTCATCTATGCTGGTTTAAGTGATGGCAGAGGCTACGTCAAAATTTTGGAAAAGGACCTGGTGCCAGAGCAGCTGATAGTGTTTCCTGAAAAGAGGTAAGTAGCGTTTCTTTTGGAATATATCTGAAATCATTGGTTATCTTAGATATTTAAGATGACAAGAGAACACTTCAACCTTTTCAACCTAGGTCCCATTTGCTGTAAAAAATTCTGAATTTGGAAGTCTAAATTGTATATTATAGAGTCAAACTTTTCAAAGTCTACTGAGTCTAAGAGCAGGAATATCCAGCATTCTCTGCAGTGCAATGATATAAGGCCCATACGAGAGAGCTAAGCGAGCCTGGCTGTTTAGCATAATGTACATGCAACTGAGTTATTCTCTAACACCTGTGCTTGTGCTTTTCTCAGGTCCTTGTACTGGGTAAATCGAGGTGAGAAAGGCATGAGGACTATTGAAACTGCAGGGATGGACGGCTCTGATAGGAAGGTGCTTGCGGTTGTAAACATGGAGGAACCTGTAGGACTGACACTTGACCATGTGATGGGCAGGCTCTACTGGATCAGTAAATATAAAGAGGTACCATAGATAGGTCAGGAGGAAAAGGCAAACCCTTTTGGTAGGGGCTTGGGATGACGATGGGTAAGTGCAAATTTCTTTTGAGTCTTACACCAACTTGGTGAAGTATCTTCTCGCCATGAAAATTGAGAATAGCAAGCTATAATTGCATAGTGTGTTTAGGTAGAGCCAGATTGTATCAGCATAGGTTGGGAGACTTACTGTGACTTTCTTAAACATTCTGTGTTCAAACTTGGCACTGGGATTTCCTGGTAGCGTAGGTCATGTTCTGTGTTGTATCTGGGATACAAAACCTTTTTAAGATGGCAGACCACTTCCTTGAAAGCATGCAGTTACTTAAGTACTTCCGTGTCTTGTACTCATATTTCTAGGTTTTAATATTACAGTTCATGTTATATCATTTTTGGAAGCATCAAACTAAAAGACTAGGATGACATGGTGGCTAAAAGCATAGGCTTGGGAGTCATATTTTTAAGCCTATGACCTCCATCTGTGGTTTTGGCTACTTATGGTGCCTCTTTGAGCTCCCACTGCCCTCTCTGAAAAGAGATAGAATGCCTAACTCAGAAGGCAGTTGGAGAATGTAGTGAAAGGATCTGGTACAATGTCTGGTTGTGGACAGTAAGCTATAGTAGCTACTTGAACAATGTGACCCCAGTTTGTACAAGAAGCAGTCCATTCCCCTGGCTTTGGCATGAACCTCCATGAATCCTAAGGTAAGTTCATCTCCATCAAGTTGATATCACATAAAGATGTTTAATCAGTGTCCAAGAAACTGGGGTTCCCTAACGTTGTCAGCACCTCTCGCTAATGCTGCCATGCTCTCATGAGCCTCTCTAACCTGCAGTCCATAGAGACGGTAAACGTGGATGGTACCAGAAGGCACACCTTTCCTGAGATCTTCTTGCCACATGAAGAGCCAATAGGACTAGCTGTATTTGAGAACTCTTTCCTCTGGGCAAGTAAAATACAGCTGTTTCATACCTCACCCCATGCCCCAAAGAAGAGAGAGGTGCTGCTGAATACCTCCATATCTGCTTTCTCAGTCCTCCACAAATCCAGGCAGCCTAAGAGTAAGTTGACAGCTTGCTTTCGAAATGCTTAATGAATCAGAATGCATACTAAATGGAAAATACCTAAATCACTACCTCGGTCTGTTGTTGGAACTTGCTATTTTAAGGCAGGGGGAATGTTTTGGTATCGTTCCAGACTTCTACAGGACTTCTAAGTAAGATGAACTGAACGAAAAAATCCACTGGGAAACTCATTCCAAGCATGTACCTTATGCTTGTCCAATGTAGCAACCAGATTTTTAATGTCTGAAATATACAAAACAAGGTAGTAAGCTGTTCACAGAAGGGCTGGAATAGCTTACTCACTGACATGTCAATCGATGACAGAAAATTGAACCAAGCCAAGCATCTTGCTTATAGAAGGAAGTCAAATGTTCATTGATTAGGAGTTAAAAACTTTTGTTAATCTGAAATCGTATGTCAGATTTAACTCAGATAATGCTTCTTAAATGGATCCGAGAAACTAACCAAAGTAGAGAGACTGGACCACTATTTCCTTCTAATGGAGTCTTCCCACAAGCAAGTTAGACAGTCATTTTGCCTTAACTTTATAGGAGAAGATGCTGTTGGTTGAAGCTTTATTGACCCGAGCTCAGTATAGATAGATAAATGTCACTGTCTGAAAGACAGGAGTTCAGAGGTCAGCCTGCCTAACCTAGAAGGTAACAAGTATACTGGGGTTTCTCTTAAGGCGAAAGTGACTTAACTCCCCTTGAGTATTAAGTTTTGGACTAGTATAGATAAAAAAAATCTGAAATTATATCTTGTTTCTGTTTTGAAATAGGCAGATACCCAGCATGTGTTCCAGGTTCTTGTAGCCACCTGTGTCTCCTCTCCCCCATCCATCCCAAGGGCTATAAGTGTGTTTGTCCAGAGGGGATGTTTCTTTTACCTTCTGGCTCGTGTACTGGTAAGTACACTGGGTGTAATGGGCTTGGCTCAAGGAGGCACGTTCCACGGTAGACCTGGAAATAATGTAGCTTCTATTTCTGGATCAGTCATTTTTAAAATGACAACCTACTTTGATAACAAGTGTTGTTACCAAAATACCTTGATTAGTTTTTTAATTGTGCTAAAATATTTGTTGTTAGTGCCAATTCTGACTCCTAGCACCCCTGTGTACAGCAGAGTGAAAACCTACCTGGTCTTTCTGTGCCATCTCCCCTCTTCCAGCGCTGTATCAGACAATGCTTTGCTGCTGTTCAGAGAGTTTTCATGGCCAATTTTTTCAGAAGTTGGCGGCCAGGTTCTTCTTCCTAGTCTGTTAGTCTGGAAGCTCTGCTAAAACCTGTCCACCATGGATGACCCTGCTGGTGTTTGAAATACCAGCGGCATAGCTTTCAGTATCACAACAACACGCATCCACCAGAGTATGACAACCGACAGACAGGTGGTGTGGTTCCCTGACCAGGAAACGAACCCAAGCCATGGTGGTGAGAACACCAATTCTTAACTATTAGACCACCGGGGCTGAAATACACATAATATAAAATTTTCCGTTTTAACCATTTTAAAGTGTACAGTTCAGTGGCATTAAGTACAGTCTTGTTTTTGTGCAAGCATCACCACTATCCGTCTCCAGAACTTTTTCATCTTCCCCAACTGAAATTCTACATCATTCAACACTAACTCCGCATTCCTCTCTCGCCCTAGCCCTGGGCAACCTCCATTCTACTTTCTGACTCTATGCATTTGACTACTTTAGGTACCTCATATAAGTGGAATCATATGGTATTTTTCCTTTTATGACTGGCTTATTTCACTTAATGTCTTCAAGGTTCATCCATGTTGTAGGATGTGTCAGAATTTCCTTCCTTTTTACGGCTGAATAATATTCCATTGTGTGTATGTACTACATTTTGTGTATCCATTCATCCATCAATGGATATTTGAGTTTTATTAGTTTTAAAACAGGAGTAAATAGTTTAAACCACTCAGTTTTACATGAAAAATTAATGACTAAGTTGGTATAAGAAGCAAAGCCTCTATATTCTTATGACTATTGTGAGTTCTGACTCATTTGTAAGCAGAGCAGCTCTTCAATATTGTTAACATAAGTTCTTTATGTTGCTGTTCCATCTTTGAAATATTTAAGGCTGCATAATCCATTGAACATCTCTGTCCAAATTACTTGACTTCTTTCTCTAGAACATTGAGGTTTTAAGCATAACTGATGTAAATGTGTTCATGTTCTAACTATCTTTAAAAAATGCAATTCACAGGGATAGCCGTGGAATGCAATCATAGTGTAATAGGCTCTTATGCCAAACTCAAGACTGCAGCTTAAATTGTATTTTGAACATTATATATAAAGCTAAATACCCAAGTAACTTTTCTTTAAATAGGCAGTAGAGTTTAAACTTCTTTGCACTGAGCCTTGTGTGCTATGAGCAAGGATTTGATGACATTCCTGAGTCAAATGGAGCAGCACACCTGCCCTCATCCTCAAGATTCTGTGTGAACCTTTCAGCAGAAATTCAAAAGACTTAGTGCCTTGGGAAAACCGAGCAACACTTTCATTTGCCCAAATGACTGACGTCTTTGAGGAAGCTGGGGTGTGCGTGTTGTCCATGTGTTTCAGAAGTGAACTTTCTAAGATCCCTTTCTCTGGGTACCTTAGCTGGAGGGAGGGGCGTTGCTTGAGTAGGGAGCCTGGGACTTCTCTGACAAATGGTCAAATAGTAAGTCTCCTCTTTTCCTTGGTAGAGTTAAAACTTGTCTTTTCTTCTGGCAAACGTCTCTACTTGTTGAAAGTTGGTTTTATGGGAAGTGCTATAGAGAAGACCCTAGTTCAAGAGCATCCTGGGAACATCTATTTACTAGATATTGACTGGAAAAGAAACCTCATCTACTGGACAGATGCCCAGGGACAACTGTTGTACTCAACTGGCTATTCAGGAGAAAATCACGAGATCTGGACAGAGCATACAGGTACGTTGGGGTGGTTATTTTGTGTTTTTCCCTTTCTTTTCTTTTTTTTTTATTAAAGATTTGCACCTGAGCTAACATCTGTTGCCAATCTTTTTTTTCTTTCTTCTTCTTCTTCTCCCCAAAGCCCCCCAGTACATAGTTATATATTCCAGTTGTGAGTGCCTCTGTTTGTGCCACGTAGGATGCTGCCCCAGCATGGCCCGATGAACGGTGCCATGTCTGCGCCTGGGATCCGAACCAGCGAAACCCCCGGGCTGCCAAAGTGGAGCACGCGAACTTAACCACTTGGCCTTGGGGCTGGCCCCCTCCCTTTATTTTCTGACTCCAAAATTAACTAGAACTGGGGCCAAAAAATCCTACCTGTTCCTGATCTGAATCAACGTTAATGCCAAAGAGTGGTTTTAACTAATTTAACTATTAAGTGTCTCTGCTTTACCCTTGTTCTTATGAGGAGCGTGCAGACTGTTAAAAGGCTACTGTGATTTGGGAAATCCTAGGGTCAGTGATAAGGTTTTTAAAATTCTATTTTTCTGGCCTGAAGTCTGGGTAGGAGAGAAATGGACCTTAAATACTTCAATTTTGCATTGCAGATTTTTCTTATACTAATTTAGAAGTGATTTGCAATTCAGATTTCAGAGAGAACTAGCAAGATATTTTCTTAATATGGTAATATATACTTTCTCTCCCCTCCCACACTCCTAAATGCCACACCCTATCCCCAGCTCCCTGTACTCAGCCTAAATGCAAACGTCTACTTTGTAAAAGAGAACTGAGACTTGAGCTCTAGGGTGAGTAATTTTGATTTCTTAATGTCTGTGTCCTGGGGACTCTGAGTATATGCTTTACTACAAGAAGTGCCATATTGAAATACATGTTCCTGAGACATCTCTCAGAACAGTAGATGCTACCCAGAGTCCTGTGGGCAAGCACAGTGCCTGGCACCTAAAGAGCTTCCAGTTCCTGACCTAGGGAAGTTTCAGGAGAAACTGAAATGGGCAGCGATCTTGTGATACCTCTGATGGCTGTCTGGGAAGCCCCTGATGGTGAATTTCTTCCCACTGAATTAAAATGCTATCTTCTCCCTACTGGCTAATCTTTGCTAATTAGTTTCTGCATTACAATTATTATATCAACGATTTCTAGGAGACTGACCATTTCATTTGAGACAGCTCTAGTGTTGAATATTGGTCCCTGTGGTAGGTGGCTCTGAAAAATAGAAAATATATTATTGGTCTCTGTCCCCAGTTACCAGCACAGAGCTCCTAAAACCTTTGTAATATCCTGAGTGACAGGAGCTCCTGACATAAAGCTACTAAATCCCTTAGAATTTCCTAGGTGATAGAAACAACTTTTGTTCTAATGAGGCAACTCTTGGTGGGTTCTGCAATACAATGCAAAATTGAATTTCAGGTCCATTTCTACCTTACCCAGACTTAAGGCCAGAAAAATTTTAAAAACCTTATCACTGCCTCTAGGAAGTTGGTCACTGGAAAGACCAAGCCATGACTAGAAGCTTAGAACTTTTAGCCCCACTCCCCATTCTTTGAAGAGGGGAGAGGAGCTGAAAATGGAGTTAATCAACCATGCCTATGTGATAAAGCCTCCATAAAAATCCCAAAAGTATGGGGTTCAGAGAGCTGCTGGGTTGGTGAACACATCCATGTGCTGGGAGGGTGGTGCACCCCAACTCCACAGGGACAGTAGCTTCTACTCTTGGGACCCTTTGGACATTGTCTTATGTGTCTCTTCGTCTGTATCCTTTATATAGTAAACCAGTAAACGTAAACAAGTGTTTCCCTGGGTTCTGTGAGCCATTCTAACAAATTATCAAGCTCAAGGAGAGGGGTTACAGCAGCCCTGGTTTAGAGCTAGTTGATGAGAAGCACAGGTAACAACCTGGCACTTGTGATTAGCATCTGAAGTGGGGGCAGTCCTGTGGGACTGAGCCCTTAACCTGCGGGAGCTGATGCTGCCTCCAGGTAGATAGGGTCAGAATGGAATTGAGTTGGAGGACACCCAGCTGGTGTTGCAGAATTGCTTGGTGTTGGGGAAAATCCCAGCCATCTGGTGTCAGAAGTGTTGTGGTATGGGTCAAGGAGACACAAAGGGATGTTTTTCCTATACAGTGGCTGAAAAGCTTGACAAACCCAGGCAGGCCTTTTATAGACAGTAGTCAGCTTCACCCCTGTTTCCAGATCTCAGGGCCTCTTTACACCCATGAGCGTGCCGCTTTCAGTTTATCCTTACATCAAAGTACTGACGTCGGTGTTGTTTTCTCTTGGGTGTGTTAATCTTGTCCTCATACTGAAAACTGAGGCTGGAAAGCACAGATGAAATTCCTAATCAAAAATGGGAGGGCTTCCTAACTCTGTTTTAGAAGAGAATTCATGCATTTAGGAACCTGTGTGGTATCACTCAAAGAGTATTTTGTGACCCTGGCACCTGGACTTTCCACCTTGAATCTGTGTAGCGCCAAGGTTAAATCTATCTCTAGAGGCGAGCACATGTTTTCTGCAGATGGCAGAGCCCAACACAGAAGAGAGAAGCTGGACTGAGTATGGCCAGTCTATTCTTAGTAACTTGCCAATCTTAAGTCATTTCTTTCCTGGGCAAGAGTGGCTGGAGAAATGTGGAGAGAATATAGAAGTACAATTCTATGCATATTCCTCCACATGAAAACGTGGGGAATACTAGTAAAGCTATGCTCCCACTCGAACACCCAGGAGTAGGAAGAACTTACAGCACATTAAGCGTGGTGTGTACTGGCTTCTCCATTCTGTCACTCGTGCCTGCCTTCCATGCCATGCCTGTATGTCAACTTCCCTGGTAGTTAACATTTGAGTTCGTAATATGATACCCAGTGGTCTTCTGGGATGTATTTAACAACTGGCTCTCTGGGGAGAAAAAGTATGCACATATGTGTGTATATATATATATACCTGCGTACATTTATAATAAAGCTTACTGGTATAAAGGATGTGTAACACAATTTACAAATAATGAAATATACAACATTCTTTATGGTAAATTTTATATAGCCAACTGATTTTCACACATTGATCCAAGAATTCAAAATGAAAAAACAACCTATTGTTGCAATTTAATCAGGATTTAACAAAATCCGACTATGAACAAATGCTCAATCGCCATCTGATTTGGCAAAGACGTTGATGCTGTCATTGATGTGAAGGTTGCCGCCCTTGTTTCTGTAAACAAAGTGAAGTAGTGAAGTAATGAAAACTAGTTGGAATTAGTTCATCAATGACATAAATGACTTATTTGCGGAATTGGATAACAGTCTTCAAATACTAGAAAAATATTTCCTCAATTTTTTGTGGTATTTAAAATGTAACGGCTATAGACACAACACCTGTGAGTTTAATCTGCAATACTAACATTTTCTCTATCACTCTCTTACCCCTGTAGACTAGAGGTTGTCAACCTCTTTCTGTAAAAGGCTGGGCAGTAGCTATGTTAGGTTTGTTGGGCACTCTGCCATTGTATCTCAAAAGCAGCCATAGACAATATGGGAGTGAATGCCATGGCTGTGTGCCACTAAAACTTATTTACAAAAACAGACCATAGTCTGGATTTGGCCCAAGTGCCATTGTTTGCCTGTCCCTGGTCTAGAAAACACAACCCAAACCAACTCAAGCCCTGATTTGTAGTGTTTGCCAATTTCCGTGGTGTAAATACTCCCACAAAGCCAGACGTCAAGCTGGCAGTGTAACGTCACTGAACGTGGAGCTGGGAAGGGGGTGTGCAGTAGCAAAGCTTGAATGTGGTGTTTCCACCATACAGATGCAATGGATGTAAACAAACAAGAGCAAAGATAAGGGGAAATGTAGGAAAATGATTAGGCAATGATTTGAATATTTATTAGTTTTGTTTCAAATATGATTTAAGTTTATATACTTTAGTTTTTAATAATAACTGTATTGAACCACAAGCTTACGGAAGCCCTGAATTTAACAATTGGCTGTTAGGAGCTTGTGCAAGCTACGTCCAGCACACTGCTCTAAAATAACTGGCACTATTCTAAGCTTTTCATATGTATAAACTCTAATCCTCATAACTCTATGAGAGAGGCATTGTCCCTATCATACATTTGTGGAAACTGAGGCACAGAAATGAACTGACACCTTATTATGGAACAGTGCTTCAAACAAGGCAGTCTGACTTGCTAGCCTACTACTGCTCTTCACCTTTATGCTACACTGCATCCCAGGGGAGGTAATACCTAGCTTAGACCCAATGGCATAGCTAGCTGTGGTGGGTGTTGGGTGTAGGGGGAACACTTTGTAGGTTAGTGTCTAACTGGGTTATTCATATCTAAAAACTAACACTTTGTGCTTTTATCTACTTGGTCCCTATCATATCTGTGTCTTCTAGTTGTAGATCTCATTGTCCATCCATTCTACCAATGGCCTTTCATGTCACTGTCTCGATGTCACTTTAGTTCAGCCTTTGCTTTCCTATAGCAATTTCAGTCTTAGTCACTTGACATGTAATTGATTGATTTTTTCATACTTAACCTGTGAAGAGGAAGGAATGTGACTGAAGTTGCAGACCTGCATTCAAATGCAAGCCTTGCCACTTACATATCTAACTTATAAAATGCAGTGAATGTCTACCTTGCTAGGTAGTTGTAAGGATCAGATGCGCTCATATGACAGACAAGATGCTAGAATCAGAGTAGGCATGATGGGACCCATCATGTGAATGAGGTGTGTAGGCTTGTTAAGGACTGGTCTTTGCATCCCCCAATTGTCTACCCCCCTTTTCTTGTGTGAGGGAGATTGACCCTGAGCTAACAACTCTTGCCAATCTTCTTCTTTTTGCTTGAGGAAGATTTTGCTGAGCTAACATCTGTGCCCATCTTCCTTTGTTTTGTATGTGAGATGCCACCACAGCACGGCTTGATGAGTGGTGTGTAGGTCCATGCCCGGGATCCAAACCTGTGAACCCCAGGCTGCTGAAGTGGAGTGTGCGAACTTAACCACTACACCCCCGGGCCAGCCACTCACTTCTGTTCTTGACCTAAAGCTTAAGACAGTGCATGAACATGTTTGGATGTCCTTTGTAATGGGAGTTACTTTTCGTCCTTGCAGTCTGCTCAGCAAGTGTGGACATATCCACTGGGGACTTGTACTGGCTCCCCTGTGACAGAAGTGCTATTCAGAAGACTAGAATCACTGGCCCAGACACAGATACCCTGTACAGAACGGGCAGCATTATACTGCATCTTCTTCTTGATTGGCCAAAGAGAATGCTCTACTGGGTAGAAAGTGGGAAATACTTGCAAAGTATGACCTTCGATGGCAAAAACAGACAAGAAGTCTGGAGAGGCACCTGGACAGCAGAAACCCATGTGGCCTTAGACCTCGGTGCATCTAGCATCCTCTGGACCACCAAAGGGTTAGGTAAGCACTACACCACCAGTGCAGTTGGAAGAAGCTCAAGGGGATGAGCAAGAGTCTGGTTTTAGTATAATGATTCCAGTCATTCTTAGAACTTTTTAGACGTAGGCTCAAATTCTGATTTTCATAGTTAAAGCTGGGGCACAAGTCACCGACCTCAAGATCAGTTCTCATCTATAAGCCTAGATTTATGATTTAAAAGAGAATACTCCAGAAATAACATACTTAATAGCTTTTTGCAGTGTTCAGAATTTGTTTCTACTTCTATAAGAAGTCATGGAACCAAACTTCCATTGCAGATGAGGTACAGGTGCTTCATTTATAACTTGATGACGGTATCCATTATACCACGTAGCCAGATTTGGTAGCCTTCTCACCGAGAAGGCATCCTTGAGGCCTTGCTGCTATGTGCTGGTAACCGGGTATTTTAGTATAGATGTGGAAGATGGTGAAGTCACATCTGATGTTCCCACATGGCAGACCTCCCTTTCCTGGAGCTTTAAACACTTCCTTTGACTATCTTTAACTAAAATCTGCAAAACTTGATAGGAAGAATCTTCACTTATTTTCAGTTCGCGCTCATTGAACCTTAATCAAATGGTACCCATGCCTCCCCACTGTCACGGCCCACTTGTTCCATATCAACTTGTAAGAGCTTGGCTCTTCCTTAGGGTTGCAAAGTCTGAGTCTCCTAAAAAATAGAACCTACACTTTGAACAAGACCTGGAGTGACGGCATTATAGCGGCCCATGAGCCCTACCTGGTGACCGTGAACAGAGCAGCTCTTATGCTGTGGAACAGGAGGATGGTGGAGCCCTTCTCGGTGTCAAAAGAGCCACACATCAGGAAAATGATCATCCTGGCAGAGGACCAGCAGGTTCCTGGTGAGTCTTCCTCTGTGGGATTATTCTGAGATCTCCTTTACCTGGCTCTTCTCAGTGGGTTTTTATAGGATCAAATCCTGGGTGTCTGTATGTTTGCTTTGGCAGTTGTTCCAACCCACAATTCAGTAGGCTTTCTCCATAAATGTCCGTGTCCCAGAAGAGCAAGATTCTAACACGTTTCTTGAAGACGCTAAACAACGCAAGTCCCTGAGCAATACTCCAAGATGTTTGCACACCATAACCTCTTTTGGGAATCACCTTGCACATTAGCATATTAAAGCTCTTAGTCTGGCAGTAAAGAGATCCATTTAATTTGCCCTAAACCAGCTTCCCAAACTGATTTCACCAAGGAACCCCTATGTTCCATAGCAGTAGCATCTTGCAGAGGACCCTTTGCATAGCTGCTCTGGGGCTGCGGACACCAGGAAAAGCAGTGCTCTCCACTGAAGCTGCTCCTTGTCGTTCAGATGAACCTCCTGAAGGCTGGTTTACCTTTTTTCTTTCCATATAAACTTGTGGCACAGAACCAAAAAATCTGATCCTGGATCTTGAGCCAGGAAAAGAAGAAATCCTATTGTAGGCTTTGTCAGCAGAAGCAGCTGGAGGGAAGAGTAGACACAAAGAGGGGCAGTACCATTCCTGCCTCTGTAGCCACTCTGTAGAGGTCTCTCATCTCCCTCTTCTGTCTAAACTAACTGACTTTGAGTCACTGGTTGGTTTAACCTGATCTTAAGGATTAAGAGGCCTTAGCTGTAGGAACATATTTCTTAGGTGGCAAAGTGTGCCAATAAACAGTTGACTTTTTGATGAGAAATCCAACTTTGATTATTCTACTAACAAATCTGTTGGGTTGCTGCAGTAGTTGCTGCAGAGTGATAACGAGTAACTTTGAGTAGCATAACTTAGACATCACAACAAATGAGTGCCTACGTTGTGTGGCCCCTGACCCAGACCATAAGATGCTAGAGCAGGGTACTAGACACTACAAGGCTCTAGCTTCAGAAACTTACCTTATTTTTCATTCCTAGAATATAGCATCAGATAGTGAAAAAATTAAGGTTAAAGTTAACAGACCTGAAAAGAGAAAAAAGTGCCCAAATTCAAAGCCATTAGATGATGAGTGAATGTATCCCACTTAATGGAGGGCTCTAGGCTTTGGGTCAGTTTCACTTTTTCTTCCCATGAGGTAGGAGAATGTCGCTACCCAGCCATGACATGGTTTTCTGGAGGAGGACAGTGCAAGCACATCTCCGTTGCCTAAGGATCTGACTTGCTGAAGCAACTGTTTATTCTAGATCCTGAGGCTGAAGAAGTAGCCACAACCACCCCTCCTACTCGTCCTCCACCACCCCCTCTACTTTGCACCCGATCCTCTGTGCCCTGTCGGAATGGGCAGGAATGCATTTCTCGGGAGAACCTCTGCAACGGCGAGCCGGACTGTCAGGATGGCTCGGATGAAGAGAACTGCTCCCAGTTCTGCAACAAACCAGGTGCGTCACCATCTCCTGGTCTCAGTCTTTTGTTCCAGGTATATTGATTCCATTTTGGGTGCAGGGTATGAATTGCCAGAATGTTTGTTATCATCAAACTTGCCTTCCCCAGATAAATTATCATAGATAAGTCACAGTCTGGGATTCTGGGAGTGTCCATCTTATCACATTCAAGTCAAGTGTTTTACCAGGTATAATGCAACTATTGCTTCCTTACATTTGCTTAAATGTTTCAATATTTGCTTTTATATATAGGGGCTGAGCCATAGAATGACCTAAATGGACCACTTATAACAGACGTGGTAATGTTCTAACAAGTCGCTAAAGTAACCAAACAAATATGAGGCCTTATTTAAACAACCTCGTTCAGCTTACTGACTTAATTGACCTGAGCACTTTGTTGAAGCTTGCTTATGGATCAACTAAGATGTAAAACTCGAGAAAATAAAATGCAGCCTATTTAACCCTCAACCTCCGGAATGAGGGTGCATTAATCCAATTTCAGACCTTCAGCATGACTGAGTATATGGTGCTGGCTTTTGGCCCTTTCCATTCAGGGGTCTTCCAGTGTCTGGATGGAGACAAGTGCATTGAGGAGAAGTACCACTGTGATGGGGCTCGGCAGTGCTTGGATGGCTCTGATGAGTGGGACTGCTGGAAGCCCACCGAGGATTGTTCTCTGCGTTGTGACAACAAGACCCGCTGTATCCCTAAGAGCTGGCTTTGTGATGGCCACCCAGACTGTGCTGACAAAAAAGATGAACAAAGATGTAGTAAGTTCCAGGAGACTTCCTTGGAATATATTTTAAACTGTATTATGCATGGTACTTAACGTTCTATAAAGTTGCCACACAAAGAGTGAATTAGTGAATATTGAATCATTGTTTCTACAAAAATACAGAGTGGGGTTTCTGTGAGTCTCTGGTCACAACGTTTTGGTCAACCAATCAATATATAACCCTGTTTTGTGTCTGTTTCTGTTTAAAGACAGCTTAATGTATATCGTTGTCTCATTGACATTGAAGTCACAGCCAATAGCACTGTAACTCCTGCCTGAACAGAGCTTATAGGACACATGTATTTTCTCCCTGAGGCACATCATAGACTTCTTGCACCTAAGAACACTAGACAGCATTTCAGCACTGCATTCAGGGGCCATTTTAAACAGCAAAATCAGCAAAAAGTATAAAAATGGGAAAAGCATGGTCCTAAGTAGACTCCAGAAAGGACACTTGTTTATAGTATGAGAGCTGAAACAAGAAAGCAGAACGTTGCTTTGTTCAACCTCTACTGGAAACATGTGTGTCGGGCAACTCAAATTTTTGCTGCTTTGTGTATCTCTGCAAATGACCATGAAAGTGTGCAAGTGCTGAGTTTAGGGGTTTCAAATAAATTTGAACAAGTAGGTGAATGTGCAAATACTGAATCCACAAATAGTGAGGATGGACTGTAGTTACTGCAGAGTTAACAGACTAAGATGAAAGTTCCTGAGTTGGAGGGACCTTGGATATCACACTGTAACATTCCCTTTTCCATGACAAGATTTCCAGTAGTGGAAAACCAGTCTACTTACCAAAACAAAGTAGTATTTCTTGTTGAGCTCAAATCTACCTCCTTGAAGATTTTAATTTTGGTCCTGGGTCTTCTCATGTGATGAGCCATCTTATGTGTAGGTGTTATCACTATCTCCTCATTTTTATGAGATACTCACACTTTATTTTTATTCTTCTCAATGACATGTTTCAAAGACCTTCATTGCCCTGTGGGCATAGGATAGAGAGAGAATTTGGAGACTTGAAGTGGGAAGAAGAGGAGGCTGGGTAAGGTACCATGATAGATTTAGATGTGGAGGTGACCTGGCTTATGGGAAGAACATCAGGGAGAAAGAGATACAGGAAGGAAGTAGAGAAGAACCCAAGGTATAATTTACTTTTCAATACGTATTTACAGTTTTGTGTAAGACCTGATCGTTTTTTTTGAACCAAGTCAAGCTACTTCCTTCTGTAGGCACTGAGTCCAAGAACATAAATTGTAGAGTATGTTGGATGTTGTGGGAGAATTTCTCTTTTCATGGATGATATTAAGGTCCCAAAGCTGAATCCCCCTACCCTGCCTTTCCCACAGTCCTTCCACATGTCCTCCCATCGCTGTCCCTCAGGCTTTATTCTCCAGGACAGAGAGGATTTTCTGGGCTAGGTCAGTAGGACTTTTCTGGCCTAACACGTGACTTGAACTGCCTTCTGTCCTATCACTTGCTGGGGCTGAGTTTCCAAGGCGACAGCAGAAGGCCAGGGAGTCTTCAAACCATTTTACTTGCCATTGAATCACTTCTACATCTACCTGAGTTCTTACCTAAAGCTTTATTTTCCAGTTCATGAAAAATGCGGCACATCTGAATTTAGATGTAGGAATGGCCAATGCATATCTTACTCTCTGCGTTGTGATGGCAACCGAGACTGCCTGGACCACTCAGATGAAGAAGGCTGTCCTGCTGCCTGGCCGCTGCGGTGCCCAGGAGGGGAGGTGAAGTGCCCAAGGAGTGGAGAATGTGTGTTGGCAGACTGGATATGTGACCACGACTTAGACTGCAAAGATGGAACCGATGAGAAGGTAGTCCAATCTTCTTTCCGAAAAATAAAGTAGATTTCTAATCACAACAGTAACACGTGCTTCCCTGTAGAAAACTTGGGAAAACACAAGAGCAAAGATGTCTCCCATAATTACTGCCCAGGAAGCCACTTGGAACTACTTCAAAGAATCAAGATCATCCTGTTTAAAGTCAAACTTTTAAGAGGCTTTTATTGTAAGAAGGTTTGCAAATGTTAGGTCTTGATGACCCTGGCTTAAATATCCAAGTCAGAGATATTCAATTAATTGTCATCATGCAGTACACTGCAGCTCCCACATCATTTGAGATGCAACCTGGGCTTGAATCCTACTGCTTGCATTTGACCTTGAGAAATACTTACTCCCTAATGTTCCATTTCCTCATCAGTAAAATGGGTGTGAGATAAGCCATGTAATGTCTGAGGGGTTGAGAAGGCCTCTAAAGGTTCTGGGATATAGCATGTGCACAATGTCCCCCTTCTCTTCCTCTTGTACATCCTGCACCAGATTTGAGCTTCCAAGTCAGATTAGGCGCAAAAGATGCTGTAACTTTTAATGCGCCAGGGTTTGCATTAGAAATGGTGGGAAGGATTCTAGAGAAGAGTTTCTAGGGCAGATTCTTTTGCTTACATTTCTTAAATGAAAATAAGACTTTCTTATTAGTTTGGCAAAATAAGACATTTCTTCCAACTTCCCACCCACGTTTGTATCACCTAGAACGCCTCACCTAAACGCCAGCTGTGCAGTTTCTCCTGATTCGCGTCACCTCTGAGTTTTTAGGCTCTATCTGGCCTCGTGGCAGAAGAGACTTAAGAGTTCTCTCATAACCCAAGCTTCTTCCTCCGAGAACCCCTTCCTGGACTCGGAATGCAGATGTCGCTGGCTGACAGAGACACTCACTGTCTCCTCAGGACTGTGACCCTGAGGAGCTTCGCTGTGGCTCCAGGCAGTGGTCCTGTGCAAGTGGAGACCAGTGTGTGCCTGACTCGTGGCTCTGTGATGGGCAGCGTGACTGCAGGGACGGCAGTGATGAGGCTGGATGTAAGTGCAGGGCACTCTCGCTGTGGGAGAAGGCACACGGCTTCGAAGCGACACCTACTGCTGGCTTTCTCTCGGCGCGAGAGACCAGCTTAGCCAGCAGATGCTGCACGACCTGAAATCCATTCCTTTACTAGATGGAGGTGTCTTGATAGTACACAGGGAAGCCTTGCTGTGGGAGGGATGTTGGGGGTTAGACTATCAGAGTAGAAAGTCGTCCTCTCCAGGCCCCCCTGAGAAGTGCCAGAGTTCTGAGTTCCAGTGTCGCTCCCATGCCTGCCTCAACGTCAGCCTGGTGTGTGACGGGAAGGAGGACTGTGCCGATGGCTCGGATGAAGGTGGAAAGTGCTCGTCATCAGCATGCGGCCAAGCGCAGTGTTCTCACTCCTGCTACAAGTCCCCACAGGGGCCTGTGAGTTGGTTCAGTTTCTGTTCTCTAGCAGCTATGAACTTGCTCTAGTGAAAGGGGGCAACACTTCCTGCCCCAGATGTGAGCTCTGGGCAACACTTGGGGCTAAGCAAGAAGTTCTCTCGAAGTTCCTTCCATATGAGCATTTGGAATATGGCCTGCCCTTAAATTGAGGACTGCCTCTGCTCTAGTCCAGCACTGTTAGTTGGCTGAGCGTAGTGAACTTGATTCTGATGGGCAGGTAGAAGAAAACTGTGTTCTGATGTCTGGTCATAGTAACATCTCTATGGGTAGACAATTGATTAATTCAGGTCTGCATGCCTCTTCACTTACTGATTCTGCTGGGGTTTCTAGGTGACCTGGGCTGAACTTGGACACTTTTGTTAACTTGGGACCCATGGTGGTGGCAAAGGTATGAGGTGTGTGGCAGTGTTGATAAGATGGAGAGAGTGACTATTCAAAATGAAGTTGGTTCTAAGAACTGTTTGATTTGCTGAAATTGAGTGTATTGCCATGTGCTTTTTATAGCCAAGTTGAGGCCTTTATGTCAGTGTTGTACTGTCTTCAGAAAGTCTTAATGTTTTCCAACCTCTTTCAGACATGTGCTTGTGAGCAAGGCTTTGAGCTGAAGAGCAGTGGCCAAATCTGCAAGGATGTGGATGAGTGCCAGAAGTTGGGTGGTCAGCCTTGCAGTCAGACCTGTGTCAATACCAGGGGCTCCTACAGCTGTACCTGTCATCCTGGCTACTTGCTGGAGCCTGATGGCCACACCTGTAAAGCAACAGGTAAACTGGAGCTGGGAATAACTCCTCAGCCCTGAGTCATGAGCTTCAAGGTCCTAAATCTTCCAGGAATACCACTGCAAAGCTCTTTCTCAGGTCTTAAATCTCCTGCCTGCTTTATCTGTCTTCAGAGCAAGCCTAGCACATTCTCATTTTTATACCTTGTCTTTGAGACTGAATTTGAGTCTCATAGTGTCTACTCATAAGGCATTGTTATAACAAGACTTAACTCTGGCTCTATCTGGGGGTCAACCTTACCTGAAGTTAGAATAAATGTCTGAAGTCCTGACAAGTACTTTTTTCAGCCCACTTACCTCCAAATATTTAATTAGAAATGTGGGTTTCAATTTAAGCTAATCACGCCTTTATTCTAAGTATCTTCCAACCATGAGTATTGGCTTAACCGTTACATCGAGGGAAGAACTACTCAGACACCAGCTGGCTGGTATCGCAGGCCTGGCAGTGAGGTCAACTCTACTTTGTCCTCCCATTCCTTAGCTGTTCAAACTCCTCAAGGCCATGCTGAAAGTGGTTCTTATTCGACAGGTCCTGAACCAATCCTGCTTGTGGCAATTCAGTTTAACCTGCTCCTCTACGGATTGAGGAGCTTGAAAGAAGATATTCTGGCAACTACAGACAAGAACTTGATTATTTTCTCTATTGACTATGACCTCGTGGAGCAGAAAATCTTCTGGACAGATCTCGGTGCGGAAAGTATCAAGTGGATCAGCATGGACACGAAGAAGAAAGGGACCATGGTGAAAGGTGTGTCCCTGGGTATGCTTTCACCTTGCCCTTACTAAGTACACACAGCATGAAAATAAAATGAATGGCCATTAACGTTCTAAACTTTGGTTTATTACACAGTAGTCCCTCTATATTCATGGGGGATATATTCCAAGACCCCAGGGGATGCCTGAAACTGTGATTGTACCGAGTCCTATATATACTCTGTTTTTTCCTATATGTACATAACTATGATAAAGTTTAATTGCACAGTAAGAGATTAACAACAATAACTAAGATAGAACAATTATAACATACACTGTAATAAAACTCACTGTAGATCTTAGCAGCCTCAGCATACGATTCTTTTTCTTACTGAGTCAAGAACTCCACCTTTTCACTTAAAGGAAGCACTTTATGGCCTCTCCTTGGCATATCTCAATTGCCAGCATCACCACTCTTGTGCTTTGGGGCATAACATAAAATAAGAGTTACTTGAACACAAGCACTGTGACACCGTGACAGTCGATCTAATAACCCAAAGGGCTACTAAGTGACTAAAGGGCAGGTAGCATATACAGCATGGGTCCGCTGGACAAAATGATGATGGGCGGGGCAGAGCGTGATGGTGTGAGATTCCATCATGCTACTCAGAACAGTGCACAATTTAAAACTTGTGGATTATTTCTGGAATTTTCCATTTAATATTTTTGGACTGTGGTTGACTGCAGGTAACTGAAACCATGGAAAGTAAAACCGCAGATAAGGGGTACTACTGTATCTTCTTAACTAAAAAGGATCAAGGCTTGCTGGTTGGTTAGTAATGGAAAGATGCATTTTCATCTCAATAGATAGGGGAATCAGCCAAACCATCAGCCAGTGATCATTATGTTTAATGGTCACCTTCCCCTACAAATAGTACTTTGGAGCATTTTAGAGAAGACTGCTCTGATGGAGATGCATATACAAGTTGGGAAATGAATTAACATGGCATGCAAATCTGAACCCTGTGAGCTCGAACCTAGTAAAAGCTATAATTGAACCTAAGTACACATGTCAAATGGTTTCCTCTCTTCAGGGATAAAGTCAGACTGTATAGTGGTTGACTGGATCGGGAGAAATCTCTACTGGATGGATGGGACAGCTGGCCGGATTTTGGCAATTCAGTTGACTGCTATTTGGAGAGGAAAATCTGAGTACACGATCGTCCTGGACGACGACTTGAATCAAGCACGGTCTTTGGCTTTAGATCCCCTAAATGGGTGAGTCCAGGTGTCACAATGCCTGATCAAGTCCTTTAAGTTTGTTATTTCTTCTTAGTTCTACTTTGGCCGTGTTCATTCAATACAGCTCGAGCGAATAGAAACCTCATCTGACTTTACTTTAGATCTTATGGTGATGTGGGTCAACCATACACATAGTAATTTTGAAAGCTTCTGGAAAAAGTCCTTTATATCAGTAAAGTGAGATGTGCATGTGCCACTTGGTGGTCTATTTATACTTTCTTTCGCTATAATAAATAAGTATACCTCTGAATGGAGAATTTTTATGGCTTTAAAATAGCAGGAGGAGGGCGAATGGAACTGGGGATGGTGTTTAATTTACAATAATGTGATTGGTGGGGGAGGAGGGAATTATTGAGTGTTGGGGTTGAATCTGGGTTCTTCTATCTAGAGTTCTTTCTGTCTGCAAAGAGCCAGGAACTTAGAGACAATATTTCCTACTTGTCAGAGCTAAAGCCTCATTGGGATGGTGTGTGTATCAAATGTAAGAACAAGATAGAGCAAAACTCAGGGTCCAAAGGTGACCCAGACTGGATACCTTCCCTCTGTTTTTCTCTCTTTCCAATACCTTCAGCTAGGAATCTGTTAACGTGGTCCTCAGGAAATTGGCAGTAGTTTCTAATGCATCTAATGGCTTGTGGCCAAGAATGAGGTCTGAGGCACACATCTGCCCATGGAACTAGCCTACTTTCTGGCCCAGAAAAGATTAGCAGTTTCCCTGGATATTTTCCAGGCTGGGGACTAATGTATTTCTTAGGCTTCTTGTACAGCTGTCATTATAGATATTTTACCCGTAAATGATGACTAATCAATTACCATAAAATTTCAAGGAAAACCTTCTTTTACTACTTCACAAATTATGCTTAAGATATAGACCAAGTTTAAGTTTGAGGAAAAAATAGTTGGGCTGTAAATCAGTGTTTTAAGGAATGAATTGATGTTATTTTCTGTGAGGTAATACTTTATCTTAAAATGGACTTTATCCATATAGGTTAATGTACTGGTCTGAAATTGGAGGAGAACCTCAAATAGAACAAGCTGGAATGGATGGTAGCAGCAGAAAAATACTCATCAATCAAGGTCTTGGCTGGCCAACTAGCATAGCTCTTGACCAGTTGAGTTGGAAGATATTCTGGTCTGATGACAAATTTCACTGTATTGGCTCTGCCAATCTAGATGGTACTGGTATTAGTGTAAGTGTTCTTTTAGTATTAGGCTTGTATAGAATGTCCTGTGCTTGGTGTAAAACTCATCCCAGACACCTCACCATCACCATTTTAGATGTTGCAGCTAACACAAATCAAGAACCCCTTTTCGGTCGCTGTGTTTGAAGATGAAGTCTTCTGGTCTGAAATGAAGACGAGAACAGTACAGCGCATGAAGAAGACGACAGGCAAGAACAGGGCTGTCCTCATCAAGCGTTTTGAACAGCCTTATGGACTCAAGGTCTATAGCATACTCTTCAAAATATCCCCCTAATTCTCCCTGAGGAGGCTACATGTATGAGCTCCCGAGTACAAACTGTAGTGACACCCATCTATAATGATTAAAAAGCACAGTTTATTCATTTGCTGTTTTATAAGGATTCCGTAACTCATAGTGACATGTAGCTATTTTCTTCCAGATAATGCATGCTGTGCTACAGCCCAGGTCTTCTAATCCTTGTCTGGACACAGGATGTTCTCACTTGTGCCTTCTGAGCCCACGATCCAAGGGAAGCTGTCATTGCCCAGTTGGACTCCTGCTTGCAGATGACGGCATCAGCTGTGTTCCACTCGAGGAGTCTGCGTTTCTGTTCCTTGTGTTTCCCACAGTTATCACACAGGTACTGTTCCACAGGCTTACTCATGTATCTGTTCTTGGCCCACATTCCATTTCAGACTTTGAGTAATTTGAATTCTCCATTACAGTTATAAATAGGAGGGGCTCTTTCCCTTGGAATATTCTTCAAATACAACTTAAATTTTAATATTCACTGTATTCTGGGAGCTATCATGACCAAAATAAAATAGCTGTGAAATGAAGACCACTCCTACTGAAACACTCATAAGAAACACTTCGTACTTCAGAACACAGTGGGGTTAGGGATCTGAGAGTGTGTTTAACTTTGTTTAGTTGTCCAAGGACCAGCTGACGATGTAGAGTAATTCCAAATACAAGAACTTGGCTGGGTTCTAGCCTGGGGCACAAATACCTTTCATGAGGGAACTTTTCTTAAATCATAGGATAAAAGGTACTAACCAGTAAGTCACCCCTAACTTCTACCATCCAGAAGACTTGTCAACTTTGGCACTTTCACATGACAAAAGACATTTTGGGGTAGAAGATGAATTTCAGTTTCAGTAAGATCTTAAAAGTGGAGTCTCATTTCAAGGAGAGGGCCCTTAATATATAAATGTATCAAATCAACACGTTATACACCTTAAACTTACACGATGATATATGTCAGTTATATCGCAGTAAAAATAAATTTCAAAAATAAAGGGGAGGGCCTTTAACAGAGGAGTAAATCTTCAAAACTCACGGATTCAGGGAATTTTAAGTATTTGAAGTTCCAGGAAGTGAGAGAAATAACTGCTATCTGCTTTTAGAAGGTAGAATATATGAAAATCTGAACTTGCATATCTTAGCATGAATGCAAAATCAAGATGAAGAATTAGACTAGACTCAGCTGGTGCCATCCACCTCATTTTTTTCCACAGATTTATGTGAAAAATCTAGAAACTTCGCTAGGACAAGCAACTTTACCAGAACATAGGATACTTCCCTTTACCAATGTGAACCAGCTTGCGTCAGTGGATTACCTTGTCCAGGAAAAGACCCTCTACCTTTCAGAGTCGGATAGTGGTGATATCAGACTGCTGAGGCTCAAAGAATCTGGAAAGCTCTCTTGGAGGAAAATCATATCTGTGGAGGGGACAGTGATCGACCTTGCTGTGGACTGGTTCAGTGGAAACATATATTGGATTGACAGTGAGAATCCTCACATCAGTGTAGCTTCCTCAAAAGGCCAGTATTCCACTGTCTTGTTCAGTGAAAATCTTTACCGCCCAACCTCTGTTGTGCTCCACCCACCTACTGCAATCATGTGCTTTGTGGACCAGGGTTCCCAGGAGGACAGTAAGCGTGGCTCCAGCATTGAATGTGCCTCCATGGATGGCAGCAGGAGGAAGGTGCTGTGGCAGAAATCTGAGGTCCCTGTGGGCCTGACCTTTTCAGATTCAGAGACCCGAGTGTACTGGGCTGACGCTGGTAAGCAGTTATTATCTATATCCTAAATGTGAGTCTGAGGGACCTTGGTCGGAGTGAAATGGTGATGTTCTGCTTTCTTGTCTCCAGCCATCACTTCAAATAGCTTTTAGGTCTGAGTCTACATTTTCTGAACCACCTTCCAAACCAATACAATCATTGCCCATCCTGAGCAGCATATGGTAGCTCGCAGAGTCGTGCACTTGCACCTTTGTGAAGGAATAAAATCAAGAACTTAACAAACATGCATGAGTGAATCTTTGTGTATCACTGTTAGAGCAGAATGAATGAGAAGAACTGGTCTTCAAAGAATGCATGGCAGACGGTGTCCTCTAGGAGGGGAGGCAGGACAAGACACAAAGAAGCCTACAGGATAGAGGACCACTGTTTGGGCTAAGTGAAATTAACTGACCCTCTCTCTCTAGGGAGAGGACTCATAGAAAGCATTCAACAAGATGGCTCTAGATACAGAGTAGACCGCAGAGGCATTCAGGGCCTTAACCTCTTTACGTATGGCCAAGGCATGATGTTCTGGACAACAATTGATGACGGTAGGTCTTAATTCTACATCTGATTGTCTTTGTGATCTGAATTGACTCCTGGGTATCTAAAGCAAATCTGCTACTGCTTAGCACTTATCTTTGGCAGTGTCTTTCTTTTGCAGAATGGCTAAGTGACTTCCCTGATCTAACATGTATGTATAACAGGGATTCTAAGATTTGGGGGAGCTTTTACTTTTTTGGTTATTCTTTATATATGAATATGCTTAATCCCATTCTGCCTTTCATAGGAGGCTCTTGGCTTTAGAGGACACCATGGTATGGTGCAGAGGGAACTGGGCCAGGAATTGGAATGAGGTGGTATAACTGCCCTGTCAGTAGCTGCAATCCCTTACCTGTAAAATAAGAACAGTATCTGTCTCAGGGGACTAAACACACATGAAAGTGCTGGGTGCATTACAGAGCATTCTGTACTTGCAGGATGATTGTTCTAAACCACAGTGCTCTTATGTATTGTTTCTGGCTAGAGTCTAGATTTGGTGAAACTGGAAAATGCTGTTTAAAATAAATCTATCTCTTTCTATTTGCAAAGGCTGGTCCATAGATCAGTTGGACTGACCACATTAGAATTGCAAAAACAAGTTGTCAGATCCTACCCCAGAGACGCTAATTTATTAGTTATATGGTGAGACCTTTGCCATCTATTTTAAGATGCCCAGGCGAATTCTTGTTGTGGATAAGCCATTTGCAGAAATGTTGTTCCAGAACAATGTTTAAAATCATTACCCATCAATTGTATGGGCTGCATTTAAATGTCTCGTATCTAAATTTTCTATCTTTATATATCTGGACATATATGAATGTGCTTAACATAACTTACACCTGACTTTATTTTGGAGAAAGGCTGGCTGTTTTTATTTATCTTGAAGCTTCTTCCCAGAAAGAAGATTTAGAAAAACACGTCTCTTCTGTAAAACTCTTGTTATTCAACTGGAGTTTATGCAGATGAGAGACAGTTTTCCTACTGAGCAATGTTCTTCATCCAGGAAACTGTCTTAAGATAAAATTTCACTTTTGTTGATGATTGGTCACTGGCTTCTGTTTCAGCTCAAATCACTAAAGTTTGGTACAGCAAGGCAGAACTTGTAGAAAACCGGTGGTTCCAAGTAGACCAGAAGATTGTGGATTTAAAAGTTTATAGTAAACTTAATCAACAGGGTAAGCAACCTTGCAGTGATTATAACACCGAAGTCTACTGAATTTCCCCATGAAGAGGGTACTCCGTCTTGCAGTAGCTCCTTGAAATATCTTTGTGTTTCCCATTAAATTAAAATATTTCTCTGGCAGATTCCTATAGATCTGCATAACTCTCTTGTCTTTACCCAGTTACATATAGTCTGATTCTGCTATATAACTAGTCCTGTTACTTATCTAGGAGACACAACGGTAAAAATTTGGAGCTGGGGTTTGGTATACTTGGATTCTATTTTCAGTTCTGTTATTGTGGACTGAATTACAGCTGAGGTATAATTGAAATCCCCTTTTAGCTCTAAAGTGGAACTGGTCTGCATTGTACTCATTGTCCCTTCTATCTACTTGTGATGTTAACTAATCCTTGAGCTATCAACTTGGGGGTGCTCAGATGTTTTTCTCCACCTTGCTTATAGAGACAGATGGAGTGCCTACCTGAAAGTTTAGGGAGGATGATGATGGGCTTAGTTAAAGTAGTCATAGGTGAAATCTGTTCCTGGTTGAGATTAACACCAACAATGTGGGCTCAAATAATTAGCCACACTTCCCGCTACTGTGTATGATGAATCTGTTAGTCTTAAGGGAATACTGCTCCATTGCTTTGTTTTTGAAAGCTAAAGCTTATAAACTGCTGTTAGTCATGCTTAAACTCCAGAAGTCTTGGCTCTGTGGAGAGAACCTTTTTAGCATTCCTCAGTGTGACAAATTGTCACCCAAGTGATAATAATCTGTGGCTTAGTTCTGAGAAGCAGAAAGAGGGTCCCTGTCACAGTTAAAGTAGGTTTTATCTGCACTACATACATATCTATTCCTCACTTCCTGGAATATCTCAAGAGGTGAAACCTCACTAGAATTTAAAGCTTAAGATATAACCCTTGGAGAACTATGAGAAGCTATAAATGGCTGACAATCAGACTTTTTTTTCTTCCCCCATCCCTCACCGTCCACCTCTCGCAATCACCAATCTATTCTCCCTATCTATGACTCTTAGAGGGATAATTGAGACCACACCCTCCCTGTTTTCATCTAAAGAGAGCTTTATTTCTAAGGCCCTTCTTGTTCTGATGTTGGATACTTGGTGTGAGGAGAGAAGAGAACTCACAATGGGGTCTTGAATGAGCCAGACGTCACCTCAATTTCTCTTAAGCCAGTCCCTGTCTGAACTCCTAGGCTTCTAAAGCCATCCTAATCCGTGAAGAAGAATGAGCAATCACAGGCTACCTAGTCGACTAAAAGGAATTAAATTGAAGAGCTGTCTATACTGGGGAAAACATCTGGGTCTGGTAACTCGGATAGTCTGTTTGCAGAAAATTTGCAGAAGACGCTTCTGAAATGATCTAAATCAATATTTTTTGGGGGGGGGGGGATCCACAGGTAGTAACAGCTGCTCAAAAGACAATGGAGGATGTAGCCATATTTGTTTACCAAACCCTGAAGGACAGACTTGTAAATGTCCCCGTGGGTACTACTTGGCCGACACAAGCAAATGTATTGAAGCTGCCCAATGCGCTGCACCATTACAGTCCTGTAAGGATGGCCAGAAATGCATTCCCATGGAGCAAGTGTGTGATGGTCGTGCAGACTGTCTGGATGGATCTGATGAAATGGGCTGTGAGTAACTCCTACCCAGGACCCATTATTCCTCATCATGAATAATTTACTTTTAGTAATATCTATTTCTGCAACATTCCTCAAAGTTTTATCCTCTAAACTGTTACCTTGTTATCACTGTGTACTCTTTAAACTGAACAATATGAAACTTCTAACTATGGGCAATTGCATATAGATTTTGTGGACTTCTTGTGGAAAGCTAATGTGCCTTCTGATTCGATTTTAGAATAGACAATATGATAGTGAGCTCCAAAGAACTGGATAGTCTGTATGTTGTCTGAAAGAGCAGTCATTTAACGTAGATTTGATTCAGTCCATTTAAACTGATCACACAGTGAGCACAGCCCAGGGGAAGGAGGTTGGGCAAACTATTTAACCTGTTTTGATTCCCCCTTTTTGATGTAGAAAATAGTGTTTTCTACCTTACAGAGTTAAGGAATACAGAGAATGTGTATAAAGTTGTCATATTAGGACATAACACTGTCACTTAGTACTTAAATGCTAGCTGTAGATGGTTGTTATAGAAATACTGTGCCCAATAATTTCTTCATGGAAAGGTGTTGTCATGGCCAGTCAGCTGAGTGATGATAATATCTAATTCTGCTGTAACAACCATCCTCTAATTCTAAAGCTACAGCTCCATTGGTAACCAAGTCACATAAGCTGTAGAACTGAAGAGACAGTGGGCTCAATATTGAAACTGGTCATAACCAGTAAAGAAAAAGATTTGGAAAGGGAATCTTAGAGTGAAGAGTTCTCATTGACTTCTCAATTTAAATTCTCGTCTTCCTAAAACCTGCCTAGCTGGAAGACCAGTTATTACCTCTAATCACTTCTTCTTCACTAGGAAAGATAATGGAAATTGATTCCCAGAGTTGATTCTATGGTCTGGCAGAGGAGAGTGGTTTCCTTGAATGCCCTGTGTAGCAGTGACTCAAGGAAGGGGGATGGGTGTCAACGAGTGAGAAATTTATCACCTTCACCACCTGGTTTTAAACTCAACCAGAAATCTCACATACCTTCACTCTCTCTGCCATTCCCGATGACCTAGGCCCAAGAGTTGGCTCTGCTCCTTAATAATTACTTCACTCTGACGTTTACATGAAACTTCTTAAAAGTTAGACTGGCTTCCTCTGGATACACCTTACTTACCATCAAAGAGTAGAAATACTCCTATGGTACCAACTTAAGGTAGAGACCAAGAATCAGTTTTACTGCTAATAGTGCTATCTTCCCTCCTGGTACTTTGGTCTTCAGTGTTCATATGAGGAATAATACTTGTGCCAACAATGGTGGAGAATATGGTGAGATGCCTTAAAAACAAACTTAACTTTTGGATTCCTCTTTGGCTAGAAGCACCCTGTTGCCTACTCCCCACCTTATGCATGCCCTCCCACCACTGCCACCAAATCCAGTTCAATATTTGCAACTTGTAGACCTTGCTAAGACTATCATTTACTTGGACTTAAAAAAATTAAAATGTTTCCAAATAAACTTACATCTTAAAAATCTTTCTGGTCTAGGTATTTGCTCCTTAGATCTACCACACTAATCCTTATAGAATAAGATATTTTTGTAAAGGATGGAATCTACCTTGGCTAAAACTGTGCATACCATCATTTAAAAAGAGATTGGTATCATAGACTACACTAGTCCCGAAACCCAGCATTTTAAGTGCCTTAAGATATGCAGGTTTTTTATATAAGCTTTTAATAGTTTTTTGTTTGGCCAAGAGTAATAGTAGTGATTATGATTTCGTAAATTCAAACTGATCTGGTTAAGTCTGCTAGAATTCTTGATGTTGTGAAATACAATCGTGTCACCTAACAATGGGGATGTGTTCTGAGAAATGTGTTGTTGGGCAATTTCAACCTTGTGCGAATGTCATAGATGTACTTACGCAAACCTGGATGGTATAGCCTACTACACACGTAGTTTTATGGTACTAACCTTATGGGACCTCTGTCGCATGTGTGATCTGTCATTGGCTGAAACATCATTATGTGGTGCATGTATATAGAGCCACACTCATGCCTACTATTTTGTAGGTACCTATCCAGATAAAACCCATTCAACACCAACACCTAAAAAGCCAGAGGCTGGAAAAAGATTGACTCCAAAAGCAGCCCACTCTCTCCAGGCTCCCGAGTCCACCAAGGCTAGCTATCAGGATCCAGAAGGGATGAATTATCCTGTCAGGAGAACACTAAACCCTCTGATTCCTGCTAGAGAAAGCAAGACCTCAGACACCAAGGAAAGAGGGGCATCTGTTCGGCCCGAAGACTCACAGATGTCAAAACATTTGCCCTGTAGCAGCGATTTCTGTAATGGGAGGGGAATCTGTACCATGGAAGGTGAGCTGAGAAAATGCAGCTGTCTGATGGAATATGGCGGAGAGTTCTGCGAAGAGGCAGTGCGCGGACCTGCCCCTGGCTACATCGCCCTCAGCTTAATCATTACCTTATCAGTTGTTCTGGTGGCTCTGGGAGCATACGTATATTTCAAAAGAGAACACGAATTTAAAAGGTGAGCTGCTATGAATGTCCTCATGGGAGAGTTTTACTCCAAAGAAGGCTTATAAAATAGGATTAAAATAAGATTAATTGGGGTTGGAGGTGTGAGTCCACTCTAGAAATTTGCCCTCTGAGGATGGAGTTAGGTGATGAAGCAACTAAGATGCATCATGCTGTTAGATGATCTGGAAAAATAATAATTGGGACCATCTCTTTGAGTGAGACCTGGGGCAAACAATATTATTGTAAGGGGCACATAAAGTGTGCCTCAACAGCAGTCAGTGGCACAATCTCGGATGAAGTGAGAAGATTCCTTTCCAGTGAGGCAGGGTTAGTGCCAATGACTGTGTGGAGGAAAAATTTGTTAGGAGGTGTATTAGTTTGTTAGGGCTGGAGTAACAAATACCACTGACTGGGTGTCTTAAACAATATAAATGTATTTTCTCACAGTTCTGGAGGCTGGAAGTCTGAAATCAATCTGTCAGTAGTGTTGGTTTCTTCTGAGACTGAGGATTGGTTTCTCCTTGAATCGTGGGTGCAGACTTCCTGCTGTGTCTTCACATGGTCTTCCATCTGTACGTCTGCGTCCTCATCTCCTCTTCTCATAGGATGCCAGTCGTATTAGATTAGCGCCCAAATTAATGATTTCATTTTAACATAATTAACCCCTTTAAAGACCCGATCTCCAATTATGGTCACATTCTGAGATACTGCAGGGTGAAGATTTCCACATATGAATTTGGAGGGGACACAGTTCAGTCCATAACAGGAAGTGAAATAAAGAAACTCAGGAAAGATTTAAGGCAAAGAGCATTAAGTTTTGTCTATGAGCTAGCGAGTCATTGGATTAAAGAGACAAACAAGGACAACAGAATGGTGATTTAGAGTAGGAATGATGACAAAATGCCTTTAGAGTTGGAAGATACAGTAACCGAAGAAACTGATTAAACTGATTACATAAACATATTGTGAAGGGACATTATAGGGAAAGTTACATCTCTGTCCAGGCTTCACTTCACTGATGGAAGAAAAGGCCAGGAGAAATGATATGTCTTTGCCTCAAGGAACGCTATTTAATAGCTAACTGGTTAGTGTTAGGATCAACTGGGATGCTACCCTCGGGCTTCTGGTTATCAACTCAGGTCTTTCTACTACATTAAACTGCTTTCTTGACTCACCTGTGTCCAGTTGCCACTTACCTATCCTTGGATTCAGTTCTCATTGACTCTAATTACCTAGGTTCCTTTAATTGAGAAGATATATCAATTTGAAAGTGAAGTGAATGCCTAGTAAATCATAATTGACTCAAGTGTTGCCCATTCTAGGTCATTTGCTTTATTAAAGAGACAGCGAAAACAGGGCATAATTCTCATAACAATAATTTTTGATAGGGGATGAGTTGGCCATTTCTAACGATAGCCCAATCTCAGCTTCTGCCTCAAGGAGCAACTCTTTTGACTTTGTTTCTTTGATTTCTAGAAACAGTACAGCATCATCGAGAAATTCGACCTGCTATAAAGAAAGTGACCAAGAAGAAGTAAATCTAATGAATAGTGAGACTTTTGTCAATGAAGCCTATGATGAACAGGTATGCCTAGGAAGTGTCTTTGAGGAAAAAACAGATTGTGAGACACAGTTAAAGAACACGCCATCTGGAAAATCCTCGCTGGGTGAAAGTAGGCAGTGTTAACTTCAAGAGCTTTTTGTCATTGGCAAATGATGCTATTATGTATATCAAATGAATACTCAGTATCTTTTTTGACTTTAGACTCTATTCAGTCTTTAGTTGTTCAAACCAAAGTGAAACATGCATGAAATAGTAATCAAGAAAGTCAGCTTTGGGAGGCCTTCCAGAGGGGCTCAATCCTATCATGAGGTGGGATCTTATTAGGGTTAGTTGCAGTCACCCCTAAAATTTACATCCCCTTGTAATCTCTATCTGCTCTGAAGCTCAACCATCACTGTGTTTTTGCCTTGTTTTAATGTAGTCCGTGTTCTCTAACTTCAAATCTTTCTTCCTACAGGAATTGTTAACCTCTTTACAGACTGACTAACCTGGTAAAGCAGGAGCTGAAACATCTCAATAAAAATTGTTTACACGTTTCATGGTGTACTGTTTGAACTTCTGTAACAGTTTGTCGTAAATGATTATTTATTAAAATAACTGCTTTTTAAATTGGAGGAGGTTATCCGGTTTTGTGAGTGTTGAAAAACTGACTATTTATAGGGTCAGATTTCAGTACAATCTCTGTGTAATTTAGATTATTATTTATCCACAGGAGCTTTCTAATCCGAGAGCGCCTGGCCCAGTACTAGTCAGAAGTTCTGGATTTGAATCTTGGCTCTGACACTAACTTTGAGCTAGTTAATCTCTCTGAACCTGTTTCCCCATTTCACAAAGAGGAATGATCTCTCTTGAATCTTCACCTGTTAGGATAGAGGTCAAGTTTCTGCAGTGTAGTAAATGTTCGAGTGTTCCTTACCCCTCCTTCTCTCAGATACATTTTAGTGCAATTTCTCACTTTTGCTGAAAATTTATAAAACTGTTTTTCTTATGCTCCATTTGAGTCTAAAACTCTGTACAGGTGAACATACTTTACAGATGTAGCTACTCAGACAAATGATTTGTCTAAGACTTCCTTGAAGGGAAGTGGGCGGATACTGTGGGCAGCAACACACAGAGTTATAGGCATGGACCAGGATTCGTCTCAACTAGCTCTTGCCTGCTGGGGAAACATGCAGATGTGACTTTGGTCCCAAAGCCCCTTGGACTGCAAAGACCTCTGCTTGTCTTCCTGGATCACACTTTATTCACACCCACATAAGGAATCAAGGGCGTTGAATCTGTGTTGGGAGATAGGTAACAAAGCAGAAGTGTGGTCTAAAATTCTATAGCAGCAATCTTGGGCAAATCACTTAATCAGGAAACTGATTCCCCAATGATAAAAATGGCATTAACAGAACCTACAGCAGGCCAGTTGGGCACTGAATGAAAATACAAAAATACCTGTACACTACTTAGCATAGTATTTGAGACTGAGAACATGAGTCCAAATTCTGATAAACAACTTGATGTGGCAGACGCTTCTTGCTTGGATCTTTTCTAGACTATGCTTATTTAGTTCTTGCAGAATGAGTCTGTGTGGGCTGCCAAGCATACAGAGAAGCCCTAGGCTTATTACTGTGGGTTATAGGACATTAAATAAACTGTGCTCTGCAATCACATAAAAATTCCCAAGTACACGTCAACTTGACCTGAAGAACAAATGCTGGGGGCTCCGCCTTTCCTGAGCCTGGGAGATGCATGAGAATCATTCAGTTGCCTCAGGGGTTCAGCTATATTTGACAGAAACCATTTTAGCAACACATACCTCAGACCCCTCTCACGCACAGGCTGAGTCTTAAGTTTCTCTGGCTACTTCCAGAGAGCCATCCTCACTGCCAAGTTTGCCCTTGGCAAGGCTCTGCCTTTCTCTGCGCAAAAGTGCATCACAACGGCACACAGGAATGCAGCTGGAAAGCATGCACGAGTGATGTACAACAGTATCACTACTTTCTCAGGACTGTTTGAGCTGCTGCCTTTGTCTCCTCTAGCCACACTTCCGGGACTTGTGCTCTGGCTAGCTCAGTGTACTTCCCAGGTGCTCCGCTGACAAGTTACTCCAGCCCCACCCTTCTACTCTTCCACCCTGCTTCCTGTTTGGGCCCCAGAAAAACTTCCTCTCTTCTCTTCCCAAGAAAAAGAGCTGACTGCAGCCAACTCTAGTATGTCTTGATGCACCTCCTCTCCCTAGCCCCTGCCCCAGGCTTACGTAATCTTTAATCTTGGCCTCTTATGAATGTATGCCTAAGTATTATCCCACTTGAATCTAGTTTAACATCCTGTTATGCTTTCCCTATTCAAGAATTTACAAAACACACTGAATGTCCCTGTCACCAGAAAGACTTAATTTTATAAATGGATACTTAAGATTTTATACTTAATTCTTAACCATCCCTACCCCCTAAATTGGTTTTAATATGTCAATTTCATAACCTTATCTATTTGTAGCAATGGCACGTTATCAACAATAAGAGCCTTCTATTGTGATAATCTCTATATTAGGTGTTCATTTCTTACTTAATTTCTCTCCACCTAATAGATGGAGTGATAAGCCTAGAGCAGATATAAAATTTTCTTTTCCTTATAGAAACTCAACTTCTGTAACCTGGTAAGAGGTTTAAGTTTTCTTCTGGAAGAATAAGGAGCTTTGGAAAAGTTAATTGGTTCATGCTTTAGGCACAAAGAGACCTACACAAAATTTGACCTTTTGTGTCTATTGTTAGGAATTAAGAGTTAAATAAAGCACTTTATCCTTATTCTCTTTGGGAAACAAACAAGGGAGGGATCACACTTTATCAGGCTAATAGCTTCTTTAGGAGGGAATACAGTCTGGAGCAAATTCAATGTGTTTTATAGAATGTTTTCAGAATCAAATATAAACAATTTGAATTATGAATAGCTGGTGAGGAACATTCTATTCTGCCAATGTATAGACAGCCCCATGAGGCTGAGAAAGATATTAGAACCTCAGAGCCTCATCCTATCCACAGAGAGCTGGAAAAGGTTAGTAACCAGGACCTCTCCCCCTATACCCACCCCACATCTTCACTCTGATGTCCCTAAAAGGAAGGGCTGCCATTCATCTCTTTAAGACCCTCAGGATCTTCCTTATATATCATCCACTCAGCTTAAATTCTATTAATGATTTGGCCAAGGCCTGTGTTTTTTCATCCTCATTACTCTCTCCCACGTGTACCCGAAACTACTCCTTTCACCCATCAGCATAGAGGTATTGTATTTGAACATAAGCTTTGAATGTTCAAATGTGTAATTTTCTTGGTGTACTTTCTCATTTGACCTCTAAATTGAAGGTAAGGGCATAGATGGTTTCTGTTTATTTTTAGTTGTAGAATGGGTGCTAACACTTCTTTAGTGCCTGTAAGGAATTTAATAAGTTACCTCTAAAAGCTGTTTCTCTACCCGAGTGCTTCCTCACCTTACACACAACTTGCCATGTACATAGAAAGTAATTTGTGGCCTGAGGTCACTGGCCCGAAACCCAGGGGTGGGAGTGGTGCCAGCCCTGATATCAGTTCCCCTAAGTTAAACCCAGCATATATGGGGTTAAAACCAAAGCACTCTTTCCCTGCTTACTCCCTGGTTCCCTGGCTCCAGAATCCACTATATGCCATGGAGACGGACAGCCAGGGACATCAACCTGGATTCCTTATCACCTCCTCCTCCTCCCTGTAAGCAGCATCCCAAGGCCAAACTCAGACTGATGGGAAAGCTCTGACCAGCAAGGCCACTGACCATGCCCCACCCCCCCAAGAGTCACATTCCTCACAAAACTTTAAAACCCCTCGCCTCCCATCTTTCAGGGAGCCGAGACAAAACAAGACAAATTTGAGGGCTCGCTCTCATCTCCCGGCTGATATAATCCAAAATAAAAACCTTTTCCTTGCCATAAGCCTCATGTTCCAGTTTTTATTTGGCCCCTCTTGTGTGGTGGATAGGGAACCTATGTTTGTAGGTGCTAACAATTTGGTGAGCCAGCCAGGAGGCTCTTGCCCATGGCTCCATGGCCCCAGACTGACTGGGATTTCCTGGGAAGTAGTCCAGCTGCTGCCTAGGTGCTTTGCCCTAGGGACTGTCCCCAGTACTTTCCATCTGGCCTGGCACCACTGACCCTAGGCACATTTCTTATGGCAAGGAAACAGGTTCTAGATTTGTTTGTCTGTTCTTCTGGTGAATCAATGGACTCCATCTGAAATAGGGGAAGTCACCTTGGGGACACCTGTGAACTTCCTTCCCCTCCTCTGGGGTCCCTTCCATTTATGGAGGGGCTATCTGGGGTCCTTTCTATTCACAGAGGGACCACCTGGGGTCCCTTCCATTCACTGAGGGGCCATCTGGGTTTCTTTCCATTCAGAGAGGGGCCATCTGGGGTCCTTTCGGTTCATGGAGGGGCCATCTGGGCCCACATTTGGAGCAGGAACAGTTGTAGAACTTTCTGCCGTAAATCTGGGACACGGTTCACTGGTGTCTGGCTTTTCTGTGTCTGGATCTGTGTGTCTGTTTCTGTGTATCAGAATGGGAAACATGCTGTCTGTGCCCAAGCAGAGCCCGTTGGGTCTGGTTCTGAGTAAATGCTCTAATTATAGTTATAAGCCAATGTCTAAAGGGGATGATTTTCTTTTGTAACACTGCATGGCCACAATATTCTTTAAACTCTGGAGAGAAAATGGCCAGACAATGGATCCTTAAGTTGGAAAATTTTTAGAGTGCTCTCGCCATAAAGAGCTGTTTTATTAGTACCTATGAAAGGACCAAATTAAAAGGAAAATACAATGACTAGTCTTACAAACTTAATCAGACTTGGGGGTCTCAGCTTCTTCTTGTGGTTTTACATGTGCTTATGAAAATATTAAGTTAACAAAAAGAAAACAGAAAGGGAATTGTCACAGAACTCACCCCAACAGGATGGAAATCTTTAGCTAGTTATTAAAGGGTAAAATGGGATCAATAGAACAGACATAAAGTTAAGACAAAGGTTTTATTAAAACACTGCCTAAGGTTGAATGGGCTAAAGGGATCCCGCTTTTGGCCCCCGAACATGAAAGGACATCAGACAGGCCTGTTCTATTCACCCCAGTTTGAAAAAATTTAAAAGGTCAGGAGGCTGAAATCACAGTGAGAAACCTGACCAGCAATTGTTTGGGACAACAGTTAGGCTGCTCAGGTTGATAAGACTACAAAGATTAAAGTGTTTAGGGGCTGGCCCCGTGGCTGAGTGGTTAAGTTCATGCGCTCCGCTTTGGCGGCCCAGGGTTTCCAGTTTGGATCCTGGGCACGGACATGGCACTTCTCGCTGGGCCACACTGAGGCAGTGTCCCACATGCCACAACTAGGGGGACCCATGGCTGGAATGTACAACTACGTATTGGAGGGATTTGAGGAGGAAAAGCAGGAAAAAAAAAAAAAAAGATTGGCAACAGTTGTTAGCTCAGGTGCCAATCTTTAAAAAAAAATAATAATAAAAAAGATTAAAGTGTTTAAGCTAATATTATATGAAGAGGTTATGTCAACTTTGCCTGGATGTTTTCTTTGGGAATGGATGTTATGTCTAGCTAGAAATGCTTTCCCTACATAATAATGTAATACCAGAACTTGCTAATGGAATTCTAATATAAGTTATAACTAGAAGTATAAGAGTTGGAAAAATTAAGATAAGGTTTTGTAAAAATTGGTATATTTAAATCAGCTTTATATAAAATGATTATATCTCTTTTGCCTGATTGTATTATAGATTATATTGTGGGGATAAACATTATGTCTCACTGGGGGACGTTTCCCCTGCCTGATATTGTAAGAGCATATAAATCCACCATTCAGGCAACATTAATTAAACATACTAAAGGAGATCTCACTTTAAAATGGCCAAAATGAGGCAATTTCAGTTTACCCAAACTGGTGTATTTACATATGCAACTGGAAAAACCCAGCTACAACAACTGGAAGCCTCTTTTAATCAGTTGAGGCTTCTAAATAAAATCAGGAATACTTTACTGCCTCTTTAAAAAAATAAATAAATAAAATATGCCAGCAGCCAAAGCCAAATCTGCTGCTCCTCTCTCTTCTCTCACTGAGATTCACCACTTCAACTCCCCCAAAATTCCTGATCTAAAATTAAGCAAATGAAAATAAGCCAACTTTTGAGACAATTTGGAATTGTAATGGCCATTCTGGGGAAGATCTGTCTCAGATGAGTCCACCTTAGGGGTCACCCTTCAAAGACACGATTCTAAATCTCTCCTAACGAAACGCAGTCTCTAATATACAGAAACTTTTAAAAAGCAAAGTTATTTAACATGATATAAAATGACCTTTGGTAAATAAAAGCCTGTTTAAGTTTGCTGGTTTGATTTAAAATAGGCATGTCCCCTGAGTTATCAGCATTGGATGTGATGCAGAAATGAGCTCATGTTTTCTCTGTTACAAAATTTGTCAGCAAGAATAATAACAGAATAATAGCTGATTTTGTTTAATGTCTGATGAGGTTTTGATAGACGATCTAAATATCATTGTTGAAAACAGGTAAATTAAATAGATGTAAAAAGATAATAGGTTTTTGGAGAAACTTTTTAACAATAATTACGTTTTATGGTCTGTGTACTTAAAAAACAGCTTCCAAAATCTTCTTGGAAACAAACTTTATAGCTTTACTAAGTTAAGTTAAATAATAACAGTTTATTGGGTATCTAGGTCATTTCCACATAAGATAAAATATTAAAAGTTGATTAGTAAGCATAGATTTGTCTGCCTTTGGTTTCTTATCTCAAAGAAACTGAAAGGTGCTCAGGTTTATCAATAAACATGTTTTATGCATACTGAGGAACTTTCTATGAAAAAACATTTTTAAAAGGTCTGTGTACAAGAAAAGTAAAATATATGTTTTCAGTTAAAAAGGTATAAAGAATGGAAATATTTTTGTTTGTTGAGTTAAGAAAGATAAATTTGTCTAAAGTACTGGGACAAATTCTGAATATAAAAAATAAGCGACAGAAGTTTTATGAAAGTAAAACCCTGAAGAGTTTTATGTATGGTCAAGTTGGCTGAGATGAAAAAACATTTAATTAAGTAAACAAATTTATATATCAAAAGTAAACTGGTACAAAATTAAAACTGGGTCTTCTCTTTCTTAAAAAAAGGATAACTTTCCTGAACTTTTTATCTGCTCTTGATAAAAAGATTATAAAATGTTTTTTTAAAAAACTATTTTTACTCTGTTTCCCTTTGACTGTTTCTGTTGTCACTTTGAATAGATACCAGAACATGGTTTCAGAGTCAGCATTGTTACCTAGCTGAACAAATGTTTTGAACGTTTTAATATTTTTGACAAGCTCCCCCCCAAAAAATATTCAAGTCCTGAATAAAAGCTTTCTTTTGACCTGCAAGAGGGAGGAAAAGTTTCTCCTCTCAGCCTGAGGCAGAGTTTCCTTCCACGCCTCTTGCATACTATTATAGCAAAAGGAAGTTTGTATTTTTGAAAGGGAGTTCGGGGTTTACTTCTATTGATAGGGCAAAAACGGAATTCTAACTCTTGGCAACAAAATCTTATTCACCAGAGAGGAAGTGTTTTGAATGTAAGCCAGCGGAGAACAACTGAGAAGAAGGAAAAGTGAAAATATACAAAACACCAGTTTTGTTTGTTTTTATCAAGGCCTCCCTAGAAATATTTGGAATCACCATGCAGGCAAGATTCAGTAGATTCGGTACCTGCCCGAAACCCAGTAGCTTTATGTGTCTGCTAGGTCCTGACTTCTCAGGACCCTAATCTCTGCCTTTTGAGGTGTTAGCTGAAAAAAAAAGCACTGTTGTTTTTTTCTCCCTCTGGCTTTGTTCCCTAGGGCAAGTCCCCTCGCTCTTCAAAGTGGCAGGCTCTCAAAGGTCCGATTATTTGCTGCCAGGTGGGATTGAAATTTGAGAGAGGCACAGTCTCAGGGAAAGCCTTGCAGCCCCCAAGTGGGAGCCATGAACCATCAGCATCTGCATTGCCTCCTGGGAACTAGTTGGGAAATCCATTCGGGGGCCTCATTGCAGACCTAGCCAATCAGAATTTGCATTTGAAAGAGATCCCCACCTGATATGACTCCACATTTAAGTTTGGTCGCAAAAAGATAGAGACAGGTGATTCCAGCACAAAATGGCAAGGGAAGTGAATCTATATTGTCCCTTCCACTGCTAGTGAGCAGCTTGTGCTGTTTAGTTATCAGCCCTTACTGAATTGAACGTCCCTACCTCTGAATTGGCCCCAACGGCAGGTTTTAAAGATGAGATTCAGTTCAGGTAAGGGTACCATTAAATCAACCACTTGGAATTAGGGCTTCCGGCTCATGGAACTCACAGCTGCCTCCCTGTGACTTTAGGCTCCACTGTTACAAGAGGAAAAGATTTCTAGTGTCACCTCACGTAGAAACTGGTGCGTCTAGTTTTTTCAACAATAGACTTGGCTTTGCACAGAAACAGCATGAACCTGAATGCAATCATGGATTTAAGTGGGGCCTATTGGCTTCTTTTAGTAATCTTATGCTAAGAGGTGCAAAGATCTGAGAGCTAGATTTCAGAAACAGTGCCTAGGCAACCAGGATATTGCTAGTAATGAACATTTAAACTCCCACAGGTTGCACAGGAGACAAAAAAGCTTTTGTAGGGGCCTGCCTAGTGGCGCAGTGGTTAAGTTTGAGGGCTCAGCTTCAGCAGCCTGGGGTTCATTCCGGGTGCAGATCTACACACCACTCATCAGGCCACACTGTGGTGGCATCCCACATACAAAATAGAAGAAGACTGGCACAGATGTTAGCTCAGGGCCAATCTTCCTCACCAAAAATAAAATAAAATAAAAAGCTTTTGTAAGTATACTGAAACTCTTGTTTTCAAATTTATAATTTATAAATAAGAGATATATACACCTGTACATTAACCTACTGTGATGAACAGATTCCATTTTGTACCAAATATTTGATCTGTAGTCTCTGTCCAGGGTGAGGCAGCCAAGAAATAGAACAGTAAAGCGTTAGTCCATTCATTCTCCTTCTGGCTTCTAGAAGAGAAACCTGGAGTGACCTCAAGAGTCACTTTCACACCAAAAATAAGTGATAAAGAAGATAACTGCTATTTATACATGAACAAATGTACATAGGAGTTAATCAGCTTATTTCATTCCATAAAAGCCATTAAAGCTGCTGGTATTTGCTCGGCTCTACGTTTCAGAGCCTCATTCAAACATAGCCAGAAATATATTGGTCTCTTGAGAATTTGCATGAAAATGAAGTATACAGCAGAAAAAAGTTGATAATTATACTGGTGCAAAGTTCATCGGCATCTCAGAATATTATTGTTTCAAGGTGTTAAATCGTTTTTGAGCTTCTATTTGCTGATTTGGACTTTTTGTTGTTATTGTCCCTGGTCCACACGATGCAAACGTCACCCTTCCTATACCTCCTTCAGCTAAAAGAAAAGCCTGTTACTCCTTAAGAGGACCCTAATTCCTCTGGGGAGGAAAGCTAAACTCTGTAAAAAAGAAAACCACATCCAACCTGAACTAATCGTCCACGGAGTCTAGTTTGGCCACAGGAGAGGAAGATCGCCTTCCAAACGAGTTACAGGAACGCGTCCGGGGCTCGCCTCCGAGGCAGGTGTTTCCAGGGGCCAGGTAACAGACAAGTTCATGGTCGGCCCCTGGTGGCGCGAGTCCTTCGCCCAGACAGCGTCTGGCCAGAGCAGGCTGCGGGGCGCCGCCTACAGGTCGGAGTCGCAGGGCAGCGAGCCGTGGCAGAGCCGGGTGCTGCGCGAGGAGGCGCTGTGGGAGTCGGCCGCCTTCTCCCCGTCGAGCGTGTCCTCCTCCGGGTCGCTGTGGGCCTTGGGCGGCGGCCGCGGCATGGGGAAGCCCACCTTGGCCGGGCCGGCGGCGCCGAGGTCGGCGGGCCGCGGCCGGTGCTGGCCCCCGCTGTAGTACTTGATGGCGGGCGTGAGCGCGGGCTCGGGCCAGTCCACGTGCACGGTGCTGATGCTGCTGCGGCGCTGGCCGCCCGAGGGCGCCTTGCGACGGCAGCGCTCCTCGCACCAGGGCGCGAAGCTGAGTGCCAGCGAGAAGCCGCCCAGCAGCAGCAGACAGCTGCCCAGGTAGCCCAGCACCAGGCTGTAGCTGACCTGCACCGTGACCGGGCTGGACGGGGCGGGCAGGACGGCGCGGTCCCCCAAGACGTGGTTGTACCAGGAGACCGGGATGAGGCTGAAGAGGCCCGCGGCAAAGAGCACCAAGCCGGAGAGGCCGGCCAGCGCGGAGCGGGGCTCTTCCTGCCAGCAGCGCACGCCGAGCGAAGCCAGCAGCAGCCCCAGGGCCGTGATGGCCAGCGATGTGACCATGAGCCCCCGCGCCACGCGCACGGGCTCGGCCACGAAGTAGCCCAAGTCGTCGGGCTGGCCGCACTCGCGCTCGCGGCTGCTCTGCTCGCGGCACATGTCCCACAGGCCCTGGTAGAGCACCACGTCCACCGGCTGGTTGAGGAAGCCCTTCACCAGCCGCCACCCGGGCGTCAGCGTGCTGGTCAGGTTGAGCAGCAGCCCGCAGGGCGCGAATACCATGCCCACCGTCATCGCCACCGGCGTCCGCATCCCGGGCCGCCGCGCTCCCGCCGGACGGCGCACCTGCTGCCTTCTCCGCGGCCGCGGCCTCGCGATCGGGCCCTCGAACACCCGGAGAGCGCCCCGGACTCCGGTTCCCCGAAGTCAGCAGGACGCCGGGCTCCTGCCCCCGCCCTTTCCAGGCCGCGCTTTGTCGCCACTCGGCCGCTCCGCCCTTCCGCTCGGCCTTAATCGAAACCAGCTCGCGGGCGGGTCTGACCGAAACCGTGGACCGAGTGCCAGCATCCAGGGGCGGCCGCCGGGGCCAAACCCGACCCGGGAGCAGGCGCGGGAGGAACGAGCAAAAAGCGGCGCGCCCCCTCGCGCGGCCACCTCCCCGCTCCCCGCGGCCGGGGCGCTCCAGGACCGAGCAAAGGTCGCCCCGCCCCGGGCTCCCCGCGGGCCGGGCCGGCGGGGGCGGGGCTGGAAAGACGGCACCGCGCGGGCTGCCGCGCCCGCTCCCCGTGCGCTCTTGCCCTGCTTCTCGCTGGATCTCGGCTGCTAAAGTGTTTCTCCCGTCCTGGCCCGTGCGCCCTGCAGACCTAGCCTCTCCTTCCTCCACTCCCAGCGGGATGCGATGGCCCCTCGAAGCTCTAGGTTGTTGACTTGCAGCCACCCGTGGCCAAGTGGGCGGTGCCCCGCTTCCCGCGCCGCCTGAGATGCGCCGGGCAGGTGTGCGCGGAGGATCTACCTGGTGGAGTAAAGTGTCCCAGAATGTTGCTTTTGTTTAATTTGTTTAATAAACCTTGCTTAGTGTGCTTAATAAGGTTCCATACTCCCGATTAAATTTGACTCGAAAGAATCAAAGTTGGGGCCGGCCCAGTGGTTAAGATCACGTAGGGCTTCCAGAACGTGGGGCCCCCGGTTCCACGTCCCCTGCGCGGTCCTAGCACTGTTCATCAGGTCATGCTGTGACGGCGTCCCACATAGAAGAACTAGAATGACCTACAAATATGTACTAGGGCTTTGGGGAGAATGAAAATAGAGGAAGATTGGAAACAGATGTTAGCTCAGGGCCAATCTTCCTTACCAAAAAAAAAAAAAAAAGAAAAGAAAGAAAAGGAAGGGAGGAAGAGAGGAAGGGAGGAAGGAAGGAAGAAAGGAAGGAAGGAGCAATGAAGAAAAAAATTTACCAAACTCAAAAAGAATCAAAGTGAGTTACAGAGGATTTTATTTTACTTTTTTCAGCCAAATAGAAGACTTAAGCAGACAAAAAGAGAGGGTGTTACTGGGTGTCCTGTCTAGCACACTTTTCAGGTTTATCTAACTGCAGAGGATCCTGTGGCTTTGTCTTTGAACTATTTTACAACTCTGCAAATTGTGGAAAACCTAGTATTGCCAATGATTTTTGTCCACAGAAATGCAAATGAGTCGGTGTCAGGAGAATGTAAAGGATTTTGCCCAGTGGGTACTGAGGAACTGACATTGATCTGTAAACTCATTTTAGCGTGCCTGTTTGCCTGGAGATGTCTCTGTGTTCTTTGCATTCTCCTTTGAATTAGTCATGACACTGTTCTGGTTCCCTTATTAATAATGAGTTACATAAAATCTTTGACACGTGTTCATTTTATATTTGTGTGAGAGTCATGATTTCACATTTCTCTAAAAATTATCCTTTAGCAATATTTTTCTCCTTTTCCATATTTCTTACAATGGAAATGGATTATCGCTATAATCGGTTAAAATTAAAACTGCTTCTAAAAATCGAAGTTAATTAAGCGTTGGTTTGAGTGGACGAGGGATAGGAATCACTACTTTTGTTTTTCGAAAAGCTTTAGATTTTTAAGAAATTGTGGTAAAATACGCATAACATAGAATTTACCATCTTAACCATTTTTAAGTGGTCAGCTCATTGGCATTAAGTACATTCATGTTGTTGAACTACCATCGCTACTATCCATTTCCAGAACTTTTTCATCTTCCCAAACCGAAAGTCTACCCATTTATCAATAACTCTCCATTCTACCCCCTTGCTTTACTCTCAGCTCCTGGCAACCACCATTCTATTTTCGGTCTTGATCAATTCAAGTATTCTAGATATTTCATGTAAGTGGAGTCATATAATATTTATTACTGGCTTATATGAATTAGCATTATGTCCTCAAGGTTCCTCCACGTTGTAGCATGTGTCAGAATTTCCTTCCTTTTCAGGGCTGAGTAATATTCCATTGTATGGACATACCACGTTTGTTTATCCATTCGTCCTGTGATGGATGGACTTCAGTTGCTTCCACCTTTTGACTACAGCAGATAATCCTGCTATGACCATAGGTGTACTAATATCTCTTGGAGTGCCTGCTTTCAGTTCTCCAGAAGTAGAATTCCTGGATCATATGGTAATTCTATTTTTAATTTTTTGAAGAAATGCCCTACTGTGTTCCACAGCAGCTGCATAATTTTATACTCCCACCAACAGTGTACAAGGGCTACAATTTCTCCAACTACCTTTGTTTTAAATGGATTTAGTAGAACCTACTTTTTTATTTTTTGAGGAAGATTAGCCCTGAACTAACATCTGCTGCCAATCCTCCTCTTTTTGCTGAGGAAGGCTGGCCCTGGGCTAACACCCGTGCCCATCTTCCTCTACTTTATATGTGGGACGCCTACTACAGCATGGCTTGCAAGTGGTGCCATGTCTGCACCCGGGATCTGAACCGGTGAACCCTGAGCCCCGAAGTGGAACGTGTACACTTAACAGCTATGCTACCATGTGGGCGCCAGTAGAACCTTAGTTTTTCAAAGTGCTTTTCAAATGTCTTTTTAATCTCTGTTTTGGTGCAAAGAATGGGGATGGGTATAGTGATGTTTTCCTTTGTTTTTGCCGAGACGTTTTCAGAAAGAATGGGAAAAAAGAGAGACAAACTTGGAATGGTTATTGTATCATGGGTAGTTTACTTCGAGACACATCGGCGTGGGCACTGCGGTGTGAATGAGAGCGTTAGTTTTCATTGAGGCTCTAGTAGGAGCCGGTTGCCCAGATTAGGATGGTTGCACTGAGGGTGATTAGCTGCCATTTCAAAGACTAGAGTCAAAAAGCCGCGCTCCAGAAGCAGGATCTCCAGGCTTCAGTTCTCTTTGCCTCCAATCAGAACCAGACTTTGATGGTTAACACAATACCGGTTACTAACACTCTTTCACTGGTGAATTCATTGCCGTCTAAGATTCGTGGACTGGCCAGCGAGGCATTCTTGCCCCTCCAGGAACAGGGTGTTAGAATCTAGACAGCCCAGTAACAAGACCTGTAAGAATACTGCCCCAGACTTGATTAACGAAATACCCTGTGTTTAGAGGCTGCCCCAGAAGATTCCATCTCTGCCGACCCCAGCCCGAAGGTTGGCCAATCCTGATGCGAGCGAGGATGTGGCCTCCAGTGAACTTTCCCGACAGCGGCTGTTGGAGCATCTAAATGGACAGACACCTGGGACTTCATCACATTTATGGAACAGGCTGAAAGACTGTTTTTGCATCTGCTTACTAATAAAAGGATGAATGTGTTGTGAGATTTGGTCTAAGACTTTCTCTGAGACTGAATATTGGAAGCTACTGGTGTATTTTTTAATTTTTAAAAGTGAGATGTAATTGGCATACAATATACTGCACATATTAAATTTGCTAAGTTTGGATATATGTGTACTCCTGTGAAACCATCTCCGTAATCAAGATAATACGCGAATCCATCACCCACAGAAGTTTCCTTCTGTTCTTGACAATGTCCTCTCTTCTCTCTCCCAGCTCCCCTGTCCGCAGGCAACCACTGATGTGCTTTCTGTCAGTACAGATTAGCTTATAATTTCTAAAGTTTTGTATAAACGGAGTCATACAATATACATAGCGTATACGAGAACATCATCAGTGTGGGTGTCCCATGCCCCAGAAACTCCCTAAGTTGTCTGAAATAAAGATCTCCTGGGGTGATCACTTTGGGAAAGTACAGATTCCTCCTGAATGGGACTCCCCAGGGAAGTGTGATGGGACTTCGCGTGTTTATAAGCCCCGAGGGGATTCTTAGGGTTAGGAAAGTATGGGACACAAAGCCAGTGTGGCCAAAAGCATTGAAATCCCCATCAGTTCTGAGAGGACATTTTTGCTTTTGTTTTTTTTTTTTTGAGGAAGGTTAGCCCTGAGCTAACATCTGCTGCCAATCCTCCTCTTTTTGCTGAGGAAGACTGGCCTTGAGCTAGCATCCGCGCCCATCTTCCTCTAATTTATATGTGGGACGCCTACTACAGCATGGCTTGCCAAGCGGTGAACCCCGGGCCGCCGAAGCAGAACATGCTCACTTAACCCCTGGGCCACCGGGCCAGCCCTGACGTTTTTGCTTTTGAAAGTGGTTTACAGTTTGTCTCTACTTTAAAACCTAAATTATTGTTGTTTAGAACAGCAGGGAGTTTCCTTCTCACTTGGACTCCTCTGTAGAGTGAACGAAGCCCCAGTCTTCTTCCCCTGTGAGGGGGAAGAGAGTCCTGTATGTCCTGCCTCCTAAAGCTCTCTAGTCCTTCCACTTACTCCTTCCTACCGCCTCTGCCTAACCCAGACCCCCTCCCATCTTTCTCTTTAAGGGACTCCTAACTGGTTTCCTACACCCGGGCTTGCTCTCTCCCTTTCTCTTACCCACACAGGCCCTCAGAGCTGATGCTGTAAAATTTAAATCAGATCTTGTGCCTGCATTAACCCTTTACACGACCTTCTCCAGTCCAGCCCCAGCCGTGCACCCCGCTCATCTCCCGCTCCTTCCCATCACCATCTCCTCACCCCATAACCCAGGAAAGCCAGATTCTTTCCTCATTTTTCCAAAGTATTGGGCTCCCTTTTGCCTCTAGACCTTTGCAAGTGCTGTTTTCGTTTCCTCGAGTCCCGCCTTCTGCTTCCCAACCCCAATGCGTGCTTCCCATCGTTGCTTAAATGTCATTTTCTCTGGGACGGTTTCTCAGCTCCCTAGATGGAGTTACCTTTTCCTCCTGCGGACTTCCATACGCTCCCTCTTCTATCCTAGCACTTGCCACAGTTCCTTATTACTTGAATCATCTAGTTGTCTAGCTAGTCTGTAAATTCACTGCAACAGGTACCATGTTCGTCTTGTTCTCTTCAGCCCTCAAATCCATCTCGGTGCCCGGCCCACAGGAGCCA